GTTAGATTTTGCTTGATTGGTGCTACCTATAGGTACTTAGGTAATTTACAAACGAGCCTCCTAAAATGCGAAAATCATGCTGCTAGACCGGAGGTTGACGAGGGCCGAGAATATTGCGCGCACAGCACAGACTGTCAAGCTCGCACGTAACGCGAAACATTAAGATGTCATCAGCGATGAGACCAGTCAGACTTGGAAAGTCCAAGCAAAGAATCTAGATGCAATATCTGCTGATCGGCAATGCGGCAGCAAAGGTATCGACATAGTTATCACTAATGCGATCTCCAAGACACCTCACCTCCAGTGCTGTCAAGCAGCAGCAGTGTCAAAAAAAAACACGACACGTCACGAAAAGCAGGAAGCGCCGCGCTCAGCCCACGGCTCAGTGGCTGACTGCTCTCGGCGGCGCTGCGAGCGCGAATGACCCGGGCTCGGGTCATGCGGACCTGACGAGCGGGCGGTATGACGCAATCACATGGGCGGCGCTCGCCCTCACCGCGGAGAAAAAACATTATCAGTTGACTTATAATGTTACATTTCATCTTTGACCTGACCTGTGACGTCATCGGTGACCCCGAGGTCAATGAAATTTGGTTTTCCTCGACAAATTTGACAGGGCTTTCGAACGCCGTTTGAATTTTGCGGATCCGTCCAGTAGTTTCGGAGATACGAGGGGGGGGGGCAAAAAATAGCCCCCCCCCCCCCACCAGGTCGCGTTATAAACAGACCCCACCAGGGCGCGGGTTAAGGACTCCTAGATCGCAGCCGCACTTCCTTCCCTTCATCGCCTCAGACGATAATCCTTTCGTAATAAAATTCGAGAGATATCACCACCCAGACCATTTATCACTCGCTGGCTTTGGCTCTATGACCTTGAGTCGGTGGTCCACCAGCACTCAGGGCCGGCAGCTTTTGGCACTAGCTCTGAGGACATTATTAATGGTGTGCCTTACGAGATACGCTGACAGAACCCCGAGTACGCACTAAATAAAGCAAGCCATCTAACTGATGGGTGGTCGTTCAGGTTGTTTGAAGAGTGACCCAAATAATGTTCCGGGAAACTGCGCTCTCTTCCAGATTGCGTAGGAAAAGAACAGTAGATAAGCCAAAATTTAGCTGGAAAACAGTTTTGCCTCCATGCCTTCCAGCGAATAGATGATATGGTTTTAGTGTAGTGGTATGTACCAAAGCCAAAACCAGTCATATCCAGACACCTTGAATCAACATCCTAACTATTGCTACCTCTGACCTTTAGAGTTTTGACTACTGGTTCTATTTTTGACCCGACCTCCCCATCCCCCACGAACGGCATTCCTTTGAATACACCCTTATCAATGCCCTCCGGCACCTCACATGACCCCTCCCCCCGCGCGCTCACGAGTTTGACCCGTGGCTATACCAGCCCACATCGGCCCGGCATGCCAAACGTGCAGTGTTGGCCGACCATGTATCACCAATCGCAGCACCCAGCTGCTTACATAACCAGGGGCCACTTGGAGGTCCAGAGCTGATTCAACGAGAGGTCTCTATGGCAACCAGACGCGTGGGTTGAAAGTGCTAACAAAACTCAGCTCTGAAGTCAGGCATCATTGCATGCACTGCGTTGCAATTTAACGAAAAAAAATCGAAAATCAATTTAAGTAACAGCATGCATAGCTGGGCCCTTCGATGTATCCAATCTGTCGAAATATAGCACCAAATACCATACCCAATTATCGGCAGCTATTGTGTATATTTTCATTACACGCCTGTCCCCAGACTTTCCGACATGACCGATGCGCTGCACTTAGGCCCGTTGATTGCATGTGCACACAGCATACATCAATGCTATGAGAGGGTGTCTTATAGTTCACAGCCGGTTCATCGGCGAACTCAGTGGAAAATTCCAGCTGCAGACGGGTGGATCGGCTCGGGAACCTGGCACCTCAGACCGAGGCACATTCCGAGGCCAAACTGAACACGATGTTGCGGGCCCGGCAAACCAGCGTCTTCCGCTGGGCGACTGGAGATAAAATATACAAAATATTAAAAAATATTTAAGAAAATTGGAAATTAAGATGAAGCAAGAAGATAAGAGCCGACGTAAATTTGAGCATCTAATGTGAGAAGTATAACCGGTAGGTGAAGCAAATAGAAGCGAGTTGTGCTCATCGGAATCTGAACACATTTTTATCTCTTGTTGAGCGTTCATACTTGTGCAGCAACAAGATCCTCAAAGCTTTCGTACCTGAATCACAGGCATTTAGTGGTGAATCCACTTCCCCTCTACACAAAAATTAAATCGGATTTATAATACAGATTACGGCTTAAAAGGTGAAAATATAAGCATACGTTCACCAAATTCCTCCACAAGTTTAGCATGAATTTGTATTCGTATGAGCTGTAGTAAGCCCACAATCACCCGTTTTTTTAACCCGCGCCCCGTAGGGCTACCGGCGGACCCTACCACCCGTAGGGGGGGGGGCCGTTTCGGCCCCCCCCCTAAGATCTCGGAAATTTACCGGCCGATTTTCAAAATTCAAACGGCATTTGATAGCCCCACCCGGGAACTACCTTGTGACCAAATTTCATTGACCTAGGTCAAACCGATGACGTCACAGGTCAGGTCAAAGGTCAGATTTTCACCGTTCACAGGCATTTCAAGAAATGTGTTGTGAAATCGAGTAAATTGGTAATTTATTGAAAACCATCGATGGTACATTGTTCGTCAAACACATACTTTGGTATCTGAGGTCACTGATACCAGGTCAGGTCACAGCGAGGTCAGGTCACGGGGGTCACAATATGAAAGTGTCGTGTGATACATGTTTTATGGTCCATTTTACATGACAAATGCGATTATGTGGGTTAGGCAGCCTTTGGGGCCAGCCTAGGTCACGTTTTGGTGAAGGTCAGGTCAAGGTCAGGTCAAATTAGGTCAAATTTCAAAGTTGATATTTTTGCATAAAATGGGTATCGATTCGATGCAGCTCATCACGGGGAGTCTAATGGTGGTCTTTGTTTTGCTCTACGAGGTATAGAATTGCCAAAAATTGAGTTTGAAAATTTGACGTCATCATTTTTGAACAGTTTTTTCGCTATAACTTGGCCAAAAAACAAGGTATCGATCTGAAATTTGGTATGTAGATAGAAGACGGTAGGTACTATCACATATATTCCGGTTTTTTCGAAACTCAAAAAACTTTTTGGATTTTTTGGCTAATATATCCAAAAAAATGCTTTTTTGATTTCTGGGGGTCAAAACTCAAAAATTTTAAAAATCCGAGATAGCAGTTTTGTAGCCCTGTCAATTCTACACCTTTTATGTCTTGATCGTTTTTCTGTATCTTCAAAGCTGTAGGCCTGACAGGCCTTCTCGCGAAGGTCTTTTTTCGGTCGAAAATGACAGAACATGACGTCATTCTGACGCCATTTGTGGCCAACCTATCATAGCCTCTGGAAAAATTTTTGGTCACAATGTGTAAAATTGATGCCCGGAGGGGTCCTGAAAGTTTGGTGGCGATATCTCCAGCCGTTTACGAGATATCGACCGAAAAGGACAGGGGGGGCCGTTTCGCCCCCCCCCCTACGGGGCGCGGGTTAAAGCTGAATGTCTTATAAGTCAACTGCCTCACTTGGTATCATGATAAATCTTTGTGTGTCTTATATTTCTCCTAAGCACGGTTTTAATTGTATATAGTTATGTGCGCAATATGTTGATAACTATCCGAGAAACTGACTGTGAGATATCTGCAAGCTCACAAATCATAAGGGCAAAATACAAATAATCCAGTGAACCAAGAAACGAATGAAGTAGACGGTCTTCATGCTCCTTATCTCTATTGTCTAATATTTCTTTCGAAAGCGTATCAATTAAATAATCAAATTAAATGGAAAACGCTTCATTTGTTCGATAAGCGTGCTGGGATTCCATCGGTTTATCTAAAACTGTATAAAAAGGAATTTATGTCTTAGAGCAGCCGGGAGCGTCATGGAACATAAGCTCCCGAAACTGCCACTGAAAATTTAAACCATTCATATCTCAGACGGGAAAATGAACGTCAGGTTTCTGCGCATTGAAGTCACGTCATTGCTCCTGGGCCCGGTTCATATAGAAATGCCTGTTGGCAAGTGTCACTTTGCCGAAAGTGCCACTTACTCAAAGGGACCCTTTCGAGATCGATTCTGACGCGTTCATATAGCCGGCACAAAGTGACCCTCAAGCCACCCTAACCAAAGTGTCACTTACGGCCACACTTGACCTACACTATGCGCCATAGTCCGGTACACTCTCTGACAATGTTGATCTCAGCGCCCTCTATACTGTAGCGTAGACTCGTTCAAAGCATTTACTGTTGGTCGGATAGGCATTAACCACTAGCGAACGGTCCTCTCAGCACGCATGGCGGTGCAGTATGTATACTTGACCCCAAGCCTGACCGGTCCGGAGAGGAGGCGCGTACGGAATAGAGGAGGCGCGGGCTGGTGCCAATATGCCGCCAGAAAAGTCGTCTAAGAAAAGGCAGGCGGCCCTCAGCGACTCTCAATGCGACTTCTTGGTGGAAGAAGTAGCTGCTCACGAAGATGTGATCAGAAACAAGATAAATACGGCCGACATGAACAAAAAGAAGAAGAGAGCTTGGGAGGAGATCGTGGAAAACTTTAAAATAAGATACCCTGAAACGTCGCGTGACGTGATGTTTTTCAGAAAAAAATGGGAAAACATGGTATCCCTGGCAAAAAATTACAAAGTTTCAAAGCGCATATGGGACGAAAAGCGAACCACTGGTGGTGGACCGGCGCCCACCCCACCACCGCGACACATCTTGGCAGTGGCCGAAATGTATGAAGACTCAGAGGCGTTTAAAGGCGTCGGACAACCTCTGGAGTCAGCACCCGCTGACAAAATGGCAGGCGACGCTCATGCGTCGACAGGGAGCGGATCAGCTGGTGTGTCATTGAGTGGTGCAACTGATACGATGCCCTCTGCATCTCTTTCACGTCCACCGTCGCCGCCGCAGATAACGCTTCGCCAGCCGCCTGCCACAAATACGCCGGCTTCAGCTTCCACGAAAGTGACAAGATCATCCCCGCTAAAAAGAAGAAAAACGGACAGAATCACGGAACTGCATGAAGAGGTGCTACTTCTTGAAAAACAAAAACTGATTCTAGAAAAACGAAAAATAAGGCTGGAGTGCAAAAAGCTGGAAATGGAGATCACGCTGCTTAAGGAAACCCAGCGAGTACAATCGGCACTACCAGCGTTCACTGGAGAAAGTCGGCTGATCCAATCAGCCTACACCTCAACGGCCATCAACGCCACCGCCGCCGCCGCTTCTGCCACCATCGCAACCCCGCCACTGGGCAGTGGCACCGGCGTGCTGGATACCCCCTCAGAAGACGAGGCTCGCTTCTTCACCCTGTGAATTCGCGCCTGTCTTTTGCTTCCGTCTCTGTCGGGCTGCAGAATGTTTTGCCTGTGTTTAAATACATGTGGTTCATTTCATTATTGTGTTTCTCGTTGCGACCTGAAATAATGCATATAGTTAAGTGCTCGTATTTCACTTAAGAGACTAAGTGAGTAGTCGCTAGGTATTTGTTTCCTTTCTGACTGCGATTAACTAGCTAAAAAAAGATCGGGGAGAGAGACAAAGAGTCAGTGAGTGAGTGGTGAGTGAGTGATTGAGGGAGTGTGTGTGTGTGTGTGTGTGTGTGTTTGAGAGAGAGAGAGAGAGAGAGAGAGAGAGAGAGAGAGAGAGAGAGAGAGAGAGAGAGAGAGAGAGAGAGAGAGAGAGAGAGAGAGAGAGAGAGAGAGAGAAAGTAAGAGATTGAGAGAGAGGGGGAGAGGAGGAGACTGATTAACCATGTTTGGGGCTGTTTGTGTCTTAAGTTTTTATCCTATAGGTAGGTAATAAAGAAAACAGTGTTATAAAGTTGTGTGGACTCGTTTCAAAAATCATAAGATATTATCCTTTACATTTCCATCGTTTGACTCATGTTTAATGGCTATAATACATTTTTTAAGAGAATAATTCCCTTTCAGCTGCGAAAGTATTCCTTTGATCCTCTTAATACCTGCTTAACTTCTTATTTGGACTCAATCCCCTCCACATTTTATGATGTACCGCTTCAAAATCATCGGATGAAAAAATAAGTTCATTGTGCACGCACACAGCCAGATATTTATTTTCATAGAAATAGGCCACACAGGTCCAAATCACAAGCTAGAAGCATACATCCAATCACAGTATAAATACCTGGCAGGTATATGCTCCCAAAAATACGTTCCCAAGAACGCATACGTTCAAACAGCACCGAATGCTGGTCATCGCTAATATGTACGCGCAAATGAGTGCACAATAACCAGTGTGAAGCGTTTCAAAATACAGTTCACAGTCACACTCACGCAAGAAAGCATGTGCACGATCAGTGGTGCCGTTTTTTCAGACGAAGAAAGTCTCCACTATATGGTCTCGAAATCTTCTGCCTTCAGGAAACTCTGCTCCTGCAGTCGCTGGTAGTGTGCACTCTTCTTCCATCTCTAAATCACCGGGCTGAGCATCATCAAAGTTGTCCGGTTGTCCCCTTTCCTTGGCAATGTTGTGCAACACCATGGCTGCCACGGTGGCGATGTTTGCCCTTTCGGGACTTGTTCTAAATCCGTCTAATAATCCTCTAAAACGACGCTTGACCTGCCCAAAACTTTGCTCGATTAATACACGGCCGCGTTTCTGAGCGTAGTTGTACCGTCTTTGAGCGGGGGTTTCTGGGTTTCCGAAAGGTGTCAGCATCCATGGTTTACCGCTCCCATATCCAGAATCACCCAACAGGATCCCCTCGCGACGCTTCTGTTCAAAATCCTTGAAGAGGGCGCTGTGCTTGAGGATGAATGAGTCGTGCGTACAGCCGGGCCAAAACGCGTACACAGATATAAATCTGTACGATGCGTCGCACACGGCTTGAACGTTGTTTGATGTGAATCCTTTTCTATTGAGAAAAGATGCTTTTTGGTCCTCACCGACGTTGACTTTGATATGCGTGCAGTCTATGCACCCAACTATTCCAGGAATTCCAGTCATTCGGTGAAAATCTCGATTGGTGTCCAGCAGGGCTTGTCCTGTGGGCATCTTGATAAAGTCGTCCATTCTTTCAGCGATCCGCGGAATGACTTCCCAAATGATGTTGTTCACTCCTCCCTTGGATATGCAAAATGTATCGCCGATCACTTCCTGCAGCGCGTTGCTGGCCAAATAGCGTAAAGTTACCAACATTTTTGTTTTGGCAGATGCTGGGTAGTGATTTGTCCTGGACTCTAAACCGCCACAAAATTCTTCCACCAGATAATCCACTGACTGCTTATCGAAGCGATATCTCTCATAGAAAGAGCGGTCATCCAACTGAAAGTAATCCACAGTTTCACGGTGTCTTCTCCGCGCACCAGCAGCTCGTCTTATGTCATACAAAAGAATACGGCGACCTGCCATGATGCTTTGGCTTCAAAATCAATCGCAAAACCGTTCCAGAATGGCACACACCGCGCTCGGCTAGCACGTAAGTGGAGCTCATAGGGTGGTGCCTCCTACCCTTATCAACTCGCCCTTACTGGTAAGTGACACTTTCCTCACACTTACGGTAAGGGTGGCTATATGAACCCATTGGTCAAGTCCCCCTTACCAATAAGTGACACTTAGTAGCTAAGGGGAGCTATATGAACCGGGCCCAGGCCTGAGCTCCGGTGGCTCTCCTATTTCTTCCAACCACTTAGGGAAGGGATGGCCAATGGTCATCCACGGTGTGGGGTGTCATCATCAGAATCACAGGCCAAATGTAGGGGAAGCGGGGGGAGCACCGCCACCTTAAGCATTTCTGCTCACCGAGCTGATATGCGCAGTAAAAACGAAGCTCTTTTGCATTCATGTGAAAGTAGGAATGTTTTCCTACATGTTGGCATAGTTTCCAGCGCTCCATTATAAAATTTCGCTACTTTACAGACATTGAAAACAAGTCCTGCATTTTCCGTCCTCCAAAAAATGTGCGGGTAGCACCGCCACTGATGGCGATGTTATCCACAGATCGGCCTTACGGTGACAGCCACCCTTGGAAGCGTTACTGCTGTCTGAAATAGTAACTCAAACTCATATAAGACACACAAGAGTTGGTTGTTAGTTTGTCACAGATCAGACTGTTTGTTGCGGACAATATGCATACAAAGCATGACAAATTCACGTTTATTTCGAAACATCCAGTGAAGTCAAACGTGAGGTTAAAAAACAGACGACGTTTGCGGCCTAGCTAAAGCTCTTCTCCGAGCTGAGTGAATTATCATTGCGGCTTTATCCATTTTGCCACCCCTTGGGGTAGCACCGCCGAGCATGGCGGTGTTACCCACACACAGTCATGGACCGACAACGCCCCGACGGGAAAACAAGCCGGGACGCGATTCTTCTGTAATTCCTTTCTCAACGAAGAGCACTTCATGCCCTCAAATTTAACGTAAAAATCAAGGCACTTTGACTTGAAATGACCACTTACTTGCTGCTAAAACATGCCAAATGATTACAACGATGGTTTGAAATTCACAAAATGGGCAATTGCGATCTCAAAATCAAATAAATCTTAGCGAAACCTACCTCACGCGGCGTCCCGTTTCCGTTCGGACACCGAAATGGCGGGTGTTTACATTTACAATTCAGAGTTTTGCCGATAGAGAGGATGGCGGTGTTTCCCACATGGCGGTGCTACCCCCGCTTCCCCTAAATGGGCAGTGATCATTTTTGTTTTTATGCCCGGAATGTTAGAGACACAGATTGCCTGATGAGCTTGCTGAGGAAACCAAAATTAAACGGTTTCTCTCGTGGCTTTATATATAGATGACTGAATCTTGTCATAAAAATCAATGATGATATCAGTCAAGCACACAATGGATAGGTACCTAATTAATAAAAAGCAGTTGAATATGGGTGACAGGCTTAGGTACCAGCCGCATTTTTTGGCAAAATTTAGTCTGAGAGCATATACAGTTTCTCATTATACGTCTCTTCATTTTTTTATACATAACATTGAAAAGCATTCCACCAATCCGAAAATGCTCCAATATGTTTACCTACCTAGCCCCTCCATTCTACAAATAAAAACATGATTATTTGTAACAGAAGAAAAACGGCAGCTACTTAGCCAGCTTCCGATATCCCTAACACTATCGTCTCCCTCCTATCTCCATTCATTACTCTATTTCCGTATCGCGCACATATAGCCAACTCTCTCCGTAGCGAGCCATCCACCAATCAAAAACCACCCCTACAGTGTGACGTCACGACATCGACCGCCCGTCGCGGCGCTCGTGCGCGCCCCTCCCCCGAGGCTGGGGGTAGGGGGTGGAGGGGGGGGGGGGTGTCGCTCGGGCCTCCGCGCAGCGCAGGAGGCGCGTCGTTGGCACAACCACTCGGCTGGTTAGTCGAGTAGTCGCGTCCGGACGAGAATACAGATAGGTGGTGGCTACGTAGCTTCTTGCTCGTCCGTCGTCAACCTCCAAGATTCAACAGTCGGCGAGGAGGAAAAGAGAGGGGAGAGTATCAGGAAGGAGGAGGTTACAACGAGCAGCAAATTATGGGGCTCACAGACGACCTGCTGCGCTTTGATTGGACCGGTGTGGACGCGGAACTACAGAAAAAGGTATGTGTGTGTGTGTGTGCGTGCGGCCGTGTGAGTGTGAGTGTGTCGCAACTATAGTGGGGTGAGTGGATCTACATGGGGCGGGGATAAAAACAAAAAACAAAAAACAATTGGTAGCTGTGGATAAAAAAGTATTTCATGAACCTCAAATATTTGTGTTATTTGCGGTGAAATGATGCAAAATTATGCCACTAATCCTTACAAGAATAATGTTAAGTAATCCTATGTTTTAGTAAAAAAAACCCTCTTTCGATGGATCCGACAGTTCAGTAAACTGTCGTGCATAACGTGCACAACGATGAACGAAAGCAACTCAATTCACGATGTTAACAGGGTAAGCGTATTTCGCACACGGACTTTTATCGCCCGTTCAAACAAGCTGCTCATTGCAAAAACTGCAAACACATTTGCAGCGCATTTTACAGTCAACTGCATCAAATAAAGCTACAAACTGCAGTTCTCCTCAAACAGTAGCAGCGACAATCGTCCTATCTAATCTTCCACACACCCCACGTGATGCGACTTTGCCACACCTCCATCCAACCTTCGCATCCCTGCAGCGCTCCCCCCCCCCCCCTCCCATCACCCCACACACCCCTCTAGTCTGCTCCAAGTCGCTGGCAGCGGTCCAAGAGTGGTGGAGTCAGCCTAGCGAAGAGACGAGCCTCTGTGAGGACCAACGGCGGTCTGGGCGGCACAGGTGTAGCCGGGGAGGGGGGAGGGAGGGAGGCAGGGGAGAGGAGGTGGGGTGGGAAGGCGGTGCTGGCTGCAGGGTGCAGAACTGCAGAGGCGAGTATAGCATAGGATGGACCGGGACGTGAGGATAAGAGAAATGAAAAGAGTAAAAACGTGGGGAAAAGACTGAATTGAAGACATACGTGTATGCCTAGGCAATGTATTTATCAAGCGGTGAACGACTTAGAAGGGCGGAGTCCGACTGCACCAAAAATAGATGACGAAAAGCCAGCGACAGTGGCAAAAGTAAATGAATAACAAAAATAAAAATTCGATACAAAAGTCCAAAACGAAACCAAGGCATGTCGTCAACGTAGCAAATACGATTGAATGAACGGGCTGCTAATTCTGTAATTGTACAGCTGTAATTAATGACGAAGTATTCCACAGTTTGAAATTATTTCCATGCAAGCTAAAACGTAAAAAATACAGCGCTTTTCCTCACAAGCTCAGTCCCACCATCATTCGAAAAATGTGTCTGCACAGCGACATAACAAAAAGTCGCACTAAATGAAAATCTTTTCCTGAACAACCTTACTCTATAGCGAGAGTACACTGTAAAAAAATGTCACGAGCCAATTCTATGACAAGGAGTGGGTTACACGGTAGTCCATTGTACCTTGCTGTTATTACGAGCGAGCGAGCGCAGCGAGCGAAGTGAGTCTTTTCAATATAACGGAAAAATCTCAGTATGAGCGGCCCGGCCCGGCCCGGCCCGGCCCGGCCCGGCCCGGCCCGGCCCGGCCCGGCCCGGCCTGTAACGCTTTTGAGAGGCTTATATCTCAGCAACCGCTGGACCGATTGGCATGCGGTCTTTTTTGCTGGGTAGCCCCATCCCTTCTACCCCGTAATTGACTACTTTTGATACACCTCAGTGACCGTCGTGGCACGTGCCACGTGAAAAGTCAAGGGTGTTCAAGCTGTTTTGCAAAAGTAGTGATTTTGAGAGGCTCATATCTCAGCAGCCGCTTGGGCGATTGACTTGCGGTCATTTTTATAGGGTAGCTGCATCCCTTCTACCAAAGGTCGGATACTCTTCATCTATGTGAGTGACCCCCACTGCACGTGCAAAATACAACAATAAGAGGTGCCAAATTTGTTCCCATTTCAGTAACTCGGTAATTACTGGGGCGATTTCGCTGAAACTTGGCATACAGGTAGGCACCCACCAGGCAATGCATTCCCATGTGTTGCGGTTAGGGTGCTACTGCACGTGCGCACGTGCAGGGGGCGTTTCCAGATCTCGAGAACGGCTGGGCCGATCGCGCTCAAATTTGGTGCACGGTTGGGGACCGGTTAGTAGGGTGCCGTGCAAAAGTCATTTTGGACCCCATTTGCACGTGCGCACGTGCAGAATGCCGCTTCCAGATCTCAGGAACGGCTGGGCCGATTGCGTTCAAATTTGGTACACCGCCAGCGACCGGTTAGAAGGGTGCTTTGCACAAGCCCGTTGGAAGTACCCTCTCGCCCTTCTGCACGTGCAAGGCTCACTATCTCGCTCGCTCGTTCTTCGCCCAAAAGGCGTTTTACTGGTATATAGGGACATTATCAGCCTGAGGGTTGTTAGTTAAAGAGTGGCCTCGTGAAGCAATTGGTTACAAACGGTAACCTAATAACTTAAATGCTTCCCTAACACCCCTTCCTGCTTATCAACAGATTTCGCGCTGTGTCGGAAAACTACGCATAGTCTCATAATTAAATCCGCCAGAAGCTTGTTGCATGCTAGTTACATGCGTGTTTCATTATCGTGTCATATAATTATTATGTCGGCTAATGAGGCACCGCCCTGCACGTGCTTTAAATATAATCCTGCGCACACGCCACCTAGTCGGAAACTCATCATCGGACTAGTCCTGGTAGGGTTTTCGTGTTGCCGAATGAGGCGAAACGACTTTGATTCGGTAGTGCCTCATAAATCCCTGCTACGGTGAGCAGCGACGAGTCTGAGACTGCTTCTAAAACGCGTCCTTAACTTCCGGCGCGGGGCCGTCATTTCCGGCCGCCATTGTTCAGTTCTGCGGCTGCCGGCGGTTGGTGCGGTTGTGTTGTGGCACGGTGCGTTGTGAAGTTCTCGGGCGGGGATATTCCGAAGGTACGTTATATTGTATGATATTTACGTAGCAATGGGGGACATTTTATTCATTTTGTAATATTCTGAACACATGTTGCGTCATAGAATTCACCCCTTGACCGTTGTGGGCCACTGTTTCGTTTGAATTCCGACTGTTGGAAGACGGACTTTCTTTCAGTTGCTGTCTAGCCTTTTTTCCAAATGTGTAAGCTACACATATTGCCTCACATTGATTTATCTTATACAAAAGTCAGTTGATGTAGATAATAAAGCCATCCTCACTGATATTTTAAAATCAGCAGTTAATTTTCTTTTCTGTTTGCAGAGTTGCTTAAAGTTGTGGAAGACTGAGGCATGAAGGTATACCGGAAGCCAGCGATGTTTCTGTTGGTAAGCCTCGCCCAGAAAAAAAAAAAACTTGCTTGAATCTGCAAAGTATGGCAAATATTTGATGGACTGCACAGTGCACAATATACCTGACATGGCAGGATCAACTTGCTCACTCGCCTGTTGTAAGTGCCGTTGCGTCAAAGCCCGTGGAAGTGCCCGATCGTGTCTCATGCAACCGTATTATTTTGTGAATGTTATTGGTGGTGACTCGAATCAGCTTTTGCACCACTCCGCTGTGATATTGTAATATGTATATATTTAGATATTTTGTATCGTATGCTAATAAAGTAATAAACGTTATTTTTGTGTATGTTTTTTTTTTTGTAACGTGGCGTGGCTGTCGTTGGCCGGGTCGTCCACCAGTCGGAGGGGCGGCTGGGGAGAAGGAGGGGGGGGGGTGACGCAATTGAGCTAGTATTACTACTGGGCAGCAATAGCAGGCGCTAGCTGGTTGGGTTACCAGGCGAGTCCTGCTAAGGAGCCTAATCGGCGCACCGATCTGCTGGTTTTGCCCTCGTTTTCAAACGAGGTACCGAATAACGAAACGAGGGGCTGACACGGGGGTGCTCGGTTTATGAGGCGTGGGCTTGTCATTTACTAACGAAACAAGCTTGTACCCTCTTACTAGCTAAATATGAGGCGATTTTTACACGTCGCTGCATGCTCATTTTTGCGCCAGCGGTTTTCCTACAAGGGGCTTGTAAGATTTTTTTTACAGTGTAAACGTGACTTAGAACACCATCACAACTGTATTCTGTCTTCACTTATAGTAGAAACATAGCACAGAGGATAATCGCGTTAATCATTCTCAGTGAGACGAGATAGAATAATTGGCACAGTGCACTCATACATGACATTGATTCTTGGAATGTCGAGTCCTAACAACTCAATAATAACAACACTGTCCTATCGTCTCGGTAAAGCTGGCATCATTATCTCATGTTCTGCGTCATTTTTCTACTTACATATCCATTGACGCAAGATAGTAGGCATTTGATATTCTTAGATACCCACCAATTAAAGTGTAAATGGATGATATACCTATAACATGCCAGAAACCATGCTATTGTATCAACTACAACGACAGCGAGCTACTTTGAGAGCTACCTACCCGTTTATGTTAAAATCGCGTTATGTTAAAAGTAAAACATTTTTGAATTTTTTTTGTAAGGCTTTCAAGTAACCATATCTTTTCATGCTTCTAAATAGCCAGTAATTACGAAGGCGTAAGGGAGTGAAAATTGAGAACACCGAAGCTAATATCGACCCTTAGGCCGCAGCGGCCGGTAGTCCACAGCTTTCCTGGCTGACCTGATCATGTGGGGCGCTCGTGTTTCGTTCAATAAACCCACGCTGAAGACTGAAGAGGCCCTGAAGTATGGACATGAGACTCTAAAGACTGCTTGTTGTGCCCTTCCGAGAAAACGTGGACTTTCGTGTTGGGTGATGTGTCAATAGTTATGCCCGTGATACTGGAAGTGATGCATCGTACTATGAAACATAGATGTATTTCACGCGAAACAATGTCTAAAAAGAGTGTTCAACTGACATGAAAATGAAAGGCGATCTAAAAATGTTGCCAATCCAAAGCGTCTTCCGATGGCTAGTACGAAACTAGCCTGAAGTACGAAATTATAGAAAATAATTATTACATTTTGATTTTGAACAAGTGAAGTTTATAACTGAAACCATTTCCGCTTCACTAGTCCTTAGTCCTATCAAAACTCTGCCCTCAATCAATACCCACACCAAACTATTTGGCCTCAAGTTCATCCTCCCCCCCCCCCCCGATGCTAAGCTCCTGGCGACTTAATAGCCTTGAACCGTTGAACCGTGTTACTCTAACTAACTGACCAACATTCCAACCAACCGATATCCCACACTTGATCTATAAACTGTGAGCTCCAAATTGCTGAATACTCCATGATACCCTCCCAGAGCTTTCCAGGACATATGTAAACACACTGACTCCAACCTCAACACAAGAGAGGTCCTCCTCTCTCTCGGGATGGCAGTTTTGGAGGTCTGGATTGTATCATTCGCCGCCTCAGCCACCCGAAATACGACATCGGCCGTCTCAAATGCTGGCTGACGCGACATGGCGCCATGAAATGTAAACACTGGTGGGAGTACACTGGTAGTCCGGTCACGTGCTGTTTGATCGACGGGTGGTGTTCGTAGCCCGGGGGTGATGGAGGACGACTGTGCCGGCAAACGGAGTGCAATGACTGGGAAAGCATTCTGCTATGATCGGTCAAGTGGCAATTGAAACTTGAAAGATAACTTGACTGAGGGTAGATGCCCGTAAATTATGCAGTCGTAAATATGTAATTTAAAGCCTGGAACACAAGGTAAAAATAAAGCCGTACTGATGTACTTTTTAATGGTTTAGGCTTATATTTTCCACAGTTATGTCGCTATTGCATTTCAAAACCACGGCGCATAAATGTCTCGGGCTGTGTCGTGACCTGTAGCAGTTAAGCACCGGTAAATACTCGAATGGGTGTTATTTGCGCCTCACACTGCAAGCGTTAACCTAAATTCATGAGCACATTGCTTACGAAACTGTGATTTTAAAGTTGCCTTTGTTACCTTCTAGATTGTAGCACAGGCGCTTGCAGGGAGACCAGTACCACTTGAGTTGTTTCGCCATCTGAGGCACGGTTTTAACACTACGTCTATGGCAGTGTATGGGATAAAATCAACACCTGACAATCTATGCTAGCCGATACATTCCTCTTCTCACCTCGGACAGTGCCACACACGCAGGGGACATCAAAGCTCTACGCGATTTAGTGCGCTGAACGATGCCGGGCGCACCGCTCGAGCCATGCGGCACAGCATACCTGCAGGCGTTCGATCCTGCTGCCATCTGGCGGTTAAATATTAAGCTTGTTGGTATTGCCCCTGGAAGACCTTCCCTATGAAGCAGGGAAAGTCATGTAGGGACATAAAGCAGGTGCGATTGTAAATGAACTGTTGAAGCAACAGTCGCTAAAGAATGAAAGTGACATTTTGGCACCACTTACTTATGAAGTCAGTCATTCGTGAACACAATTTAGCAAGCCTTTTTCGCCAAATGAATTCGCATTAGTTAAATTGTCTTACGCCATCGCTAAATTTAGTTTGCGTTCAATAACTGTTGCTTCATTTGGTGAATCAGAAACTTGCCTCATAATTCCACCACACCTTTAAACCAGTTCGCGCCGTGCCACCTGAGGCCCTCCTGGTTCATTCATGAGCATCATCCATAACTTTCGATAAGCGCTCTTGGCAACACCACAATGACTAAAATGCCCACAACAGCCTCTGGGCTCTGTTGGTTGGCAACTTATGACCACTTTTATTACCATACTTTTCACACGTAACAGTCTTTGGGTTCATCCACACATGGGGCTCAAAGCCACTTTGGAAAGCGCTAAATCGATAACACCTCGTGACCTGATACTTCTCACTCGAGGCGCGGTGCATAGTTTTGTCACATGTCAAGGCACTTTTGCTTGTCAGAATTCAATGTAGAGCGTGCAGCTGTTGTTGTCCGGTCCTTTCAGGTGGGATAATGGTAAAATGGATTTTAGTTTTTGTTGGGAACGGGCGAGGCACGTGATCAAGGTGTGATGAGTCTGCCAATGGGTGGACTGGTGTAGAATATTGGTCACGTGTGGGGAGGGAGAGGGGGGGCGCTGCTTTTGAGTCTCGTATGGTAAGACTTAAGAAGCCATGGTGCCATTACATATATGCTAATTAGGAATTCGATTTCATATCGTTTCTCTTTATTCCGTTTTCTGTATCACAACGCTATGCAAGTAGTGAGCAATTTTTGTTTGTTAGTAGTTACAGAAGTGTGTTTTTACTCTTATTCATTACCTGAACTCTTGGGTGAGAAAACTGTTCGTCAATTATTTTTTCGCGAGTGGAAGCTGTTTGCGGTAAAGTATCCCCTGGGACATACGCTATGCAACGCCGCCTGTACCGCTAGCTGTTGATATTTCCAACATTTCATACCGTCAACCATATCTCACATTGGCCAATGAATGGTATGCACCTTATAAATACCTCGTGCAAAGATTGACAGATCAATGCAACAAATTTATAAACTTATCTCCATGTTTTGCCCGACGGTTTCACCCATGGGCATTCAAACATGGTAAATAGTAGCCTACATCACATGATGCTAACACCCGGTGGCCACGTGCCAATTGCAGTCAGCTGACTTCCAGTAAAGAAATGCACTGTTGCTATGTGAACGGACCGATCGCTTTTGTGCGGGCCACGGGGTCCTCCACAGGTCTCTCGACGGGCACAGGTGCGGACCGGTCACCCATCAGTGGACAATAGGGTATCGAGCGGGCATACAGGGATGTTTGCTGTGTGTGCTGGTGGTACTGTCCGCTGGTATTCGCTGGTGGATTGCCGGGGTCGTATGGATTTCTAGTTGGGGAGTTACGTGGGGCAAATATGTACTGGATTACTGACCAATGGGTCAAATATTTTTCGTGTCAGCTCGAAACTTCCCCTCTGACGCTTTCAACTAAAGTGACCCTCTGTTTCAAATTAGAGCGGATGATTATTTTCAAATCGAACATTTTTATAGACAGTTTGAAATGAAAGCTCCATGCACACTTAAATTCGAAGCCTCGACGTGAAGCCTGCTTTTTTAGGGAATGTATGCACCTACAGTCATTTTACCGTGCATATAAGGACCACTTGTAAATCACTGTCACTTGAAGTCAGTTTACAACCCGGAAACTGCACAAAATGATCGTCAATGATTTTTTTTTGAACCAGCATTCGAAAATCAATGCCATAAAAATAGCGCTTCTGATCATCCACTTGTCCAAGCACCAAATATGTTGTTTTCAAAACTTTGAATCCAACCATTTCCCCATTCACACATTCCTCACCCCAGTGACTCCCGTTCCAATCCTATCATTACCCCCCCCCCGTCTCTTCTGGGGGGTCTATTTCTGTCCGGGCTGTCTGCGGAAGGCGCCACTCGTCCCCCCTGGCCCTGTCACCGGGCGCCATATGACGTCAGCAGGCGGGCCGAGAATTTGAGTTGGCACGCTGCCAAGGGGCCTGTCAGGGGCGCTGCCTGAGGCGTCGCCCGGGGCGCAGAGGCCGGTCAAGGTCAGATTGGAAACCACGAGCTGAGCGAGCTATGATACCTAACGCGGTGTCATCTAAACCCGCGATGGTGCAACGATGAATGAGATCACGCTTAGTGGCTGCCTTTCGTAGACTTGGAGACTAAATAATAAACATCTCCTTATCGAGGTGTGAGTGATAAGAAGCGTATAGCCTCTGGTTGCAGAGCGATCATGTAACGCTGAAACGACTGAACGGGATGCCTTGCTAAAGTGCTGACTGTTACGGCCTTTGCCGATGGCACATGGTTATAAATAGCGTCGATCGAAATTCGATATTTCCTCATTTCAATTGAGAATTTTTTACTGTGCTAAGATGCGTCGAAAATAAAGAGTTACTACATTTATCTATTAAGAGTTTTATGACTGTCCAGTATTAAATAATTTTTACAAAAAATGTCGATACCAAATGTTTTAACAGGCATGTCAAAGATGCAATATGTCATAACATTTTTTGATACATTTCAAAAATGTTATGACACATAAACATACATATACAGGAAAAAATATTTTTCGGAGAATAACATAAATTGTGTATTTAAATAATGTTTGGAAATATTCCAGTTCCTGATCCGTCCAAAAATATGAAGGAATGAAAAGTTCAAATAACCTTGCTATTACAGTTTGCATTTCCGGTGAGTGCAGCAAAAAGATGATTAAATGGATGAGTGGAAGAGTATCTGGTCACTCCACTTCCGTGTCCCTACCGCAGTGTGATCCTTATCGTTGACCCTAGCCAGCACCAACCTCCGTGACCCCTGACCTTTTCCCATAGTGACTTCTGACCTCTACATTCTCCTTACCACAGACGGAGGACGCATTTGCCGAGCTGCGACTGACAGAAGAACAAATCGAACGGGTCCAGCGGGTATTCCTAGAAGAGATGGAGCGTGGATTGGATAAACAGGTCAGTGCTGTCTCCCTGCCCCGCCACCGCTACTGAGATGCTTTGTTTGCTTGTGTGTTTGTTGGTTTGTTTGTGTGTTTGCTGATTTGTTGTTGTTTTTAGTTGGGACTAGAGGGTGTGTCGACAGTAGTCATTGATGGCCCATAACATCCAGACGTTTCCCGCTTCGTGGGTAAACGTTACACAATGGAGCTTCGAAAATGCAGTGCAGTTGCTTCCTGTTGAATACCTGGCACCTAAAAATGTTAATCCATGTTTTCGCATCTCTTTAAATTGGCCAGCATCTAAGTGATATGATTAAAATCATAGACATCATGCAGATGGTCGCAATAGCAAATTTTTATTGAAATGAAATCCTGTTGCAAAAACGTAAAACTTATATACTCGTAATAACGGGTATTATAAATACCTACGCATTGCAAAAGATATTGACGTAAATACCAACCCACACACCGATCACTACCACAATGGAACTCATGTCTACCATCCCATTCGGTGCCCACGTTCTCTGAAGGCGTTATATAACCAATACGAATGTGATGTGTGTGTCTGTGTGTGAGGCGGGGAATGTTGTAAACAGTCGGAGGGGGCGGCACCAGAGACGGCGGCACGTTTTTATCCAGCACGTGGTGATGGTGGCTTTTGACCCACGTCGAGCTGTTATGTGGGTGGTGGTGATTGGTGGTTCATGAAACAAACGTTGGGATGCATTGAAGTCATCTGATCCGTATAAGCTTGTTCGATAGCAGTTCAATGCTATGTGACAACGACAATATTGTCATTGTCGTTGAGAAAAACAAAATGTCTGACCCTTCTAATATGCCGTGGTTAGTCAATAACCAATATGTGTAATAATGGTAGATGAATGTTAGAATAATGTAGAAAAAACTGTTTCGTTTTTGTCCTCGTTTTTGTGTTTTTAAGTATTGAGACCATTTATTTTCCTTCTCGATTGAGTAATAACTTCAAAGTGATTCGGGTTCAACGTCTTGGACCGTCACATACGATATATACGATGGATAGGTACGATATATGTATACGATATATTGTGCTTCCGTTTTCAGTTGTAAAAATCTCTCCCAACTTCCCAACCCTTTATCAAAGTCCTGCTGCTACCATGTAGAATTCGAGCCCACGCGACGCTCAGTCGCTATTTCACACCGCTCACACCGGCTCTGTCTATGTATCGACAGAGTGAATCTCCGTCGAGTCTGCTGATGGAGAACACCTTCCTACCGGAACTCCCAAACGGTCACGAGACGGGCGAGTATCTGGCGCTGGACCTGGGCGGCACCAACTTCCGCGTCATGTACCTCCGGATCGCAGACGGGAAGGTTGTCGAACAGGACTTCCAGGTGAGAAAAAAACGCGGCAGAACATGTCGAGAAGGTGGGGAAGGGGGGGGGGGGCATTGATCTTTGAAGTGTGGGCGATATGGTGTTGGTTAGAAATCGTTCACTGAAAGGACAAATTATTAATTAGGATAGCTTAGTTAGGTAATGCCTCGCTCAGCTGTAGCTGTAACTCTGAACCCGTAAACTTAGCTGTAATCTGTATATAATAACTTGACACTCAGGCATTTCGACTGAGGTGTAAGGTTGTCTATAAAAACCAGACATGTGCTTGGATCCGGAAAAATGGATCTGAGATCCGATCCCATGGATCCCGATCCGAGATCCATCCAGATCATAGATCCAACCCCTCAATTTTGTCGAGAGATCTACTGGGATCATAGATCTGACCCTTCAATTTTGTCGCTAGATCCACTCGGATCATAGATCTGGCTCCCCAATTTTGTCGTGAGATCCATTGGGATCCAAGCTCATAGGTGCTCAAAATGTTAACAACTTTCTTTTATAAGAAGTTATGAATACCAAAGTATGGTTAGAAACAAACAATCTTATACAAAGGCCATATTAGTAAAGGCATCCAGTTACATTATACATAATACAAAATAAAGGAGGCTCATGACGGTCACAACTTGAGAGAATTGAGTGACATGAAGATTGTTCACAGTTCACAAACCAACAGAAAAGTTTGCACATTAACATAGAGGTAAGTCAAAGTAATGACTAATGAACAATACATAACTAGGTAGGTACCTACCACATCACAATTCATGTTAGAATCTACATAATGATATTGATAAGACAATCTTGCATTAGACAACCATGAGGCTTTCCAGTTCCCAGCTAACACAATTGATTGATAAACAATAAAAGATGATACTGACACATGTGGCTTGGTTAGGTAAAGGTATTTCAATCTATTGAAAGAAATATTTGATAAAATAAACTGAGATATAAACAAAAGTATAAAAATATTCAACAGCAGCCTGCGGAAGCGATGGGAAGCGAAATATCAATTGTAATGGCCTTGGATATTTACCGTAAAATGATTATTCAGTATCTAAATAGAACTCGTGACGTCATTTCAAATAACAAATGAGCTAGGCGTTCTACCTTCGAGTATAATGAAAATAAATAAAAAATCAAACTGGAAATTCAAAAGTCTGGAGTTTTTTTTTAATACTATTCATTTTTTCTGCCTCACATAATTTTACGATACGATTTTTTGTGAATATCATCCTTGTAGCGTTGAATATAATGACGTAAACGTAAGCTGAAACGGTATATCATAGCCCTGAGCGGTGTGCGCCTTGCACCTTTATTTTATTCACTTTTCAAAAGAATAACAATATCTTACGTCATCAGTTTAAAGGGCCTATTACGGGGAATCTTTTGAAATCATTGCGGTTTTGGTCAAATTAAGATTTTTCATTGGTCAAACGATAATGACGTAATAAAACCATATTACCAAAACGTGAGCTATGAATTTCGTTTGTCTTCTTTTTGGGAGGCTCTCTCATAACGAAAGCACAGCATGGCACCACACGTGGCACGACGGCCTTGGCACGGTGCCAAAAGTAGGTAATCTGAAGAAGTTGATGCCATTTTTGAACTTGTAATTTTATTAGGAAAGTATTAGAGGTTGGTTGGTATTCTTACTAAATCGAAATTGTGTTGCACATACTAATAGCTCATACGAACATTCTGGATTGGGATTTCATACCTGGCAGAAGTGGATTGCTGGATTATTTTTAACAAAACTGACCTATTTGGCTTCCAGGTTTGATTTCCTAACATCTGTCCATAGGCGGCAGAACAGGGGGGGGGGGGGGGCACCAGGGTACAGTGCCCCCCATAGATTTTGGCATTTTAACATTAGCCGTACTGGCGTTGCATGGAAAGAATGGGACCAAAATGAAAATCTGCAGTGCCCTGCTGCCACTGCATCTGTCTGTACTGTTTGTTCATTGAATTAAAGTGGCTGTAGCTTGTTGATAAGATTGTCATCAGTGCTGTCATGAAAAAGTTACAATTGGTCACAAAAAGTATCAATATGCATGCTCTTGGTTTATTTTAAATGTAGTACAAATGTTGTTTATTTACATTCAAATTTAATGATGATACCTAATGATTACAAGTGGTCTTAACCAATAACCATGACCACAAGTGATAATTCTCAATTGTATTGCACTGTAAGGTGTACAATTATGTAGGATAAGGGTTTCATTGGCTACATGTTGTCGTGAGATCCAAAAGATCATAGGTCCTCCACAAACTTTTGCCCGCTGGATCCACAGAGATCATAGATCCGACCCCTAAATTTTGTCGAGAGATCCATTCGGATCATAGATCCAACCCCTGAATTTTGTCGAGAGATCCACTCGGATCATAGATCCAACCCCTCTATTTTGTCGAGAGATCCACTGAGATCATAGATCCAGCTCTCGGATCCATGCACATGTCTGATAAAAACTTTGGAATTTCTGCACATTAACACAGATATCACAAAAAACACAGATATCACGACCTGGCATCTGCACACTGCGCATTGCACACATCCATTGCACAATGCGCACATGTACCACATTCTGGCATCTGCCTCGTTTAAATTTGTAACCTGGCCTCATGTCTGCGTTTAATTCAGCAACAGACGAACCATTAAATTAAACACTGCTATTTCATTGCGTCACATTCACTGATAAATGAAATGAGTGATGATCATACGCGCTTAACCCGGCACCGCCTGGGCTATTTCCGTACCCACATCAGCCTGGGGGGGGGGGGGGGTCGGATCCGACCCCCCCCCTGTTATCTCGAGAACCAATGGTCGTATCGAGCCCCGCGAGGCGGCGTTCGAAAGGTCTTTACGAGACCTTCCCAAAGCACTCTTAAGATTTTAAGATTGAGGTCAACTTTCGGGTCAAGGTCAGGTCAAAGGTCAAATTCAGGGGTTTTGCATGATTAGGCTTATGGACAGCGGAATCGATAGCTGCTGCTCGAAACTCACCACAAATGACCCCAAAGACCTATTGAAGGTACCATGTGCGTATAGGGGTCATACTAAGTACGGGTCAAGGTCAGGTCAGGTCACGAAAGGTCACGGTTTTCACTTTCTGCTACATGGGCGTGCGACACATGTTTTATGGCTTATTTTTCACGCCAAATCCGATGGTAATGGTTATATGTGACCCCAAGTCACTGTGCTGGTGATAAGTGTGCATTGAAAGCATAAAAAATCGTTTATACCATACATAACTAAACGAGGGCTAAGAAAAAAAGTCAATTTTTCAACTTTTTATTTTTGACATAAAAATGCACTTTTCTAGACGAGCTTTGTCCCAGGAATCTAGTGGTGCCATTTGTTTTCACATGCGATGTTCAGAAGTGCCTCTAATTCGCGAAAATGCTTATGACGTCACCATGCCCTATGCATGTTGGAGCTATTTTTTACAATTTGGGGGTCAAAAATCAAGATAGAAAGTTGAAAATTGGGACATCTAATGTTCTAATAGAGCTCTATAACATATATTCCGGTTTTTTGGAAATTCTCAAAATTTTGGATTTTATTAGCTGTTTTCCAAAAAATATAGTTTTTTGACTATTTAGGGGTGAAAAACGTATTTTATGGAAAATCCGAGATAGCCATTTTAAAGAACTCGTTGAGCTGCGTCTTTTCATGTCCTTAATTTGCAATTTGCTTAAAATCTCGATTTTTGGCGATTTCTTAAACATTTACCATTTTTTTACTGAAAACGCCATGTAGTTACATCACTAAAATGAATATATCTCAGAAATTTTTTAAAAAATTTTCTTAAAAATTGCACAGGAGACGTTAAATTGATGGGGGAGAAGGTATACGAAGTTTCAAGTTGATAGCGCAAGCGGTTCATGAGTTATTTAAGAAAAAACGGAGGGGGGGGGGGGTCGGATCCGACCCCCCAGGCGGTCGCGGGTTAACCTTGCACAAATATTAGCGTTTCTATGGCCGAGGGCCGTGTAACCGGATCTTGTTAACATCCGTAACGGTATCTCACTTATCTTCCGAGCGCAAACATTTACCGTGAGCTCCGACATGCTGCAGGTAGCAAGGGTCACGCCTGATAACTACTCGGTAAAACAATAGCCAGCGATGCACTGGTGGGTTCAAATTGAAACATTTGGGACATATGAACCCCCGAAACGTTCGAAATTGATGGAAGGCTGTCATTTCTTTTTTCATTAGAACATTAAACACAAATTGTAGAAGACGGTTTGCTGTCAATTGCCTGGCAAACTAGGCATTGCCATTAGGAAGCAAAAGCATGCTCTAACCCCCCCCCCCAAGTGATTTAATTGTCAGTAAACCCACCAGAATCGCAACAATCTCAAATACTTTTTTATAGTATTTGTCAAATGTCAAAGTCCGTTTACTCGTATGGCACATCAGGATATTCCACCTCCGTTGCGAGCTCACTGTCTAAATATATCCACCTGTAAACGGTGGGAACCCAACAGATGTGCACCATTGCGGACCTTCCCAACTACCACATACTGGTCCGTATCTAGACCGAAGCATTTGAGCGCATTGACCCCGCCTGGGGCTGGCAAAACATCCATGTATTGATTTCCTCACTCACACGCGCCGCGGTGTAGGTACACAATGACCATTGAGGACAAAGCAGCGTGTCGATTGGTCGCCGAGGGCTGTTCGTGAGCGTCGTCAGCACACTGCCTCGAACAGGCGACTGGGTGCCGGGTATGTCGATTGTCGAACGCAGAGCGCTTCTAGTGATAACCGGATGGTTGTTGTGAGAAGTGAAGCGTCTGAGAATGGAGAAATGGAGAAAGAGGATCTGGAGAGGGATTAGAGAAAGATGGGCCGCCGGGGCTGTAAAGAATGCAGGAACGAGAATAACTGCTGATTGTAAAATGAAATATGAGTTAGAACATAAAAACTATATTTTATGTGTCGCGCTTATAACTGGATGGCTCAAATGAATATCCGAAGTTAGTTATAGTTGAATTGCACTACTAAAAATTAGCCAGGTTATGAGATAACAGATTTTTTCTTTTATTATTTCTTTATGACCACAAAATAGTGTGACGACGCGAGGCAACGTCCAACACAGGTTATTGCTGCCATCCTTCTCCCGTTATTTTCTAAGCAAACACTCTTCCACTCTTCTCCCATTTGTCTTCCTAGCGGTATCGACTTACTGTACGCACTTTTGCGTCCTTCAGACTTTGCTCTTACTTACACACGTGCCCTCTGGCCATGGTCGCAAATTCGCTTCCCGTTGCTATTTAGTCCTCAGACACTTATGTCGCGTCGCGTTGTAGCTCACCTTATTACAATTTACATATTGCCTGCCTTCATTTATGTCACTGTATTGCGCATAATGTCTGGTCATAATAACTGTATCACCCCACCACTAACAACATTCCTGCTCCAAAGATATTCCCACAAGATAACAGGATACCAGCGCGCAGAAGTCAGATATGCATAATGCATGTCTTCAACAAAGTTTTCACGGGCGACTTGCACATTTTTCCACGGCATATTAGCTACCGGATGCCTTTTTGTAGTTAAATTACCATAGCTCTCTGGTTCCTCACATATCTCTCCGTGTCTCACATACCTACCCGATACCCACCATCTAACCATCTAACCTTACTGACCTGACCTGAAACCATCTAACAAATATCATTTCTCCACCTCATAACACCCCGGTGGATAACACCCACCGGTACATACGGTCCCTACATATATCCCTGATTCCCACATCCCAAATGTCTTCCCTCCCCAAATACCCCCCTATCTGACTAATCCCCCCACACTCCGCTAGAGGTCCGAGGTCACTGCTTTGAGGCAGTGAGGCACACCGGTGCGGTCTCCAGTCTCCACCTATCTCCCTACCCCAAATATCTCCCCAGCTGACCAATCTCCACCCCCCCCCCTCCCCCCCCCCTCAGAGGTTCGAGGTGGATGAGGCGCACCGGTACGGCAGCGGGGAGGGCCTGTTTGACTTCCTCGCCGGCTGTGTTCAGAGCTTCCTGCGCGAAAAACACCCCAGCGGAAGGCACTTTGAGCTCGGTGAGAAACGGTTAGAGGCTGGTGTGAGATGAGTTCAGAGTTTGGTTAGAAATGTTTGGGGGTTTGGCGAAATGGGTTTAGAGTTTGGCGAGACATATTTGGAAGCTTGGTAAGTTTTGAGCTTGCTAAGATCATGTTAGAGGCTGGTTATCTGAGTGAAGTTGGGTGAGACATGTTTCGAGCTTGTTAGTAAAAAAAAAAAAAACAAAAAAAAACGATGATTCATTGGGCTAAGTGAACATAGGATGAGCTGAGTGTCTAAACTTAGTTTGTGTTTTTGGTGAAGTGGGCAGATATGCTTAGTTATCACCATGCAGTTGCGTCATTTAAACCATAAGCAATAGCCAATCAAGTTAACGAATGAACGGAAACATCCCCAGCCGGTCAAATCCAGACATGACCAGTATCTCACGCGTCGATCTCATGACCATCCACCCCAAACACTCGTCCCTGAAAATTTCCTCTCAAACGATAGGTCTCTGGGCCGTTTTACCGCCTAGGCGCGCCGGGCTCACATAAATAGAGCGGCGGCTGTTTATACTGGTCGTTTCTGGGGGAGGGAGGGGAGGGGGGACGCTCCCTCGGCGCCATGTCCCGGGACGCGATCTGTCTCGCGTGGCTGGCTGGTGGCCAGATTGGGGTGGCGTGCCACCGCTCCACGCTGTCACGTAGCGTTGGCTGATTAGAAATAGGGTCAGGATCGTTTAGGGTTACTTTGGGATCGTCGTCGTTGGGTAAATGGTCAGCGTTTTAAAAGTGGGCTGTGACTGTCTTTAAGAGTCTTTCGGCTTGTCACAGGGTTAGGTCTCAGGAAAGACGCCGGTTTAGGTCTTAGGAAAGACGCCAGTGTCTTGAAGTCGGATATAAATTTGAAAATGTAATGATGGGCCACGCGGGCTTATGTTTCGACTTATGGGACATCCGGCTCTTAGGAGCGCTAATGTCAGCAAAGGTCGCTTCAAAGACGCGTCATTTGCACATGCTGTTTCACACACAAAATCTGTTTTAGGTAATTTGATCAAGTCTTAGTCGGTGTCGACCATGAACGGTTCCGGTCAAAGAATACCAGAGTTCAGTCAGTAACCGTGTTTACATAGGGTTCCCTTAATCTTCCCCTATTTGTCTCTTAAATGTCCCTTATAAAGGAATCCTCTGTCTCCTTTACCTCGCTTCACTACAAATATGGCGCAACTAAGTCATTCTAGAAGCAGTTTGCAATTGTTACTTACCTTTAGGGCTCTCCCAAATAGCTTCCAGACTAGACACTGAGGTAAAAGTGATAGCACATGAAAGCTCAAAGCAAGAAAAATCAGAAAACTATCTGACATTTAACATACTTTAAACGGCTGAGCTATTATTCAAGTAGGCGTTATCACATCCACGGCAATATCAGAACACCGCAATTTCCGCCTTGACTTTCTGCCGTTTATGTGTTAATGCCACTTAACCCTCGCATGTGTGCGGCGTTTTCCAGCTTCTAATGTGTAGGGGGGGGGGTCGGTTGGACCCCCCCCCCCCTTGCCGTTTGGCCCCTGATCGGTGTCGACCTGTTTCAGGCTTTCAGGCTTTTCAGGCTTTTCGTCGGACTAGAGCTTCGCGAAAAAAACGAGCGTGTTGCCCGTGACGAGAGGAAGCCGATGATACCCAATTTTAAGGTCCTAGGTCATTGGTTGACCTTCCAGGTCAGGTCAATGACCCAAAGTCGGGAAAATCGGGACCTATTAGAAAGTCGTAAAGTGTGGCTGCTAAGGGGTTTTTCGGGGTGCTGATCACGAATATCGTGTTAGTTTTGATCACAGATGATGTCTTTAGGCATTTTGACCAGGTCGGGTCAGGTCAGGTCAGGTCAACCAGAGGGGGTCCTGCCGGGTATTCCTAGTAGGTGTCAACCGCCTCTGACAGCTTCGTAACATGTTACGAAGGCACCAAAACTACTTCGTAAATGTTCAAATGGTTGCTAAATTCGAATTCAGCTCCAAAAACTAGCCTAGAAACATGTAAAACTCGAAAAAGTGAACCGAGGTCACCCGAGGTCACCAAAGGTCAATGACCTGACCTGACCTTCAGGTGACCTTGACCAGGGGCGCCGCCACGGATTTTTGACTGGGGGGGACGGACTGACCGACTGAGACCCCAAAAGTAGACATTCTTACCGTGGCTTTTTCGGTCGGATGCATTCAACGTTTAAAGCAAATATGCCACTTTTAACATAAGGTTTTGAACTGAAGTAACAGTTTTGTAGCTTGAGCTGAGACGAGAACAAATCAGGAGCTTTTATAGCCCAACGATCACCCTAGCCAAATATATCGGTATCGATTTTAGGTTTGAAGACTGAAGTCATTTCCATAGATTACACTTTGTCATTCAAGTAGTCAAGTCGCCTCAAAGTTTTGTGGTCCTGTCAACCGTATAGCTTATTTCTTAGAAGCTGGAAATTTAGTGTAGCTTGACTGCAGAAGTGTGGGGTCGGAGCCGGAATCAGTCGGAGTTGACTGTTTTGGCCAGTTTTGGCCAGAGTCGGAGTTGAAGTCTTCGAAAATATTCGGATTTTGACTTCGAGGTCGGATTCATGGTGTAAAGTCATGCTCTTGGCTGGTTAGACGAAATATACTAGGCCCGTGTTCGGCCAGTCGTGTTATACGACACACGTTGATCACGATATCAAAAATAGGCAGTTCCGCGATGACAGGTCGGATAAGAGCTGGAGATTTTGTTGGCCGAGGTGGCAGGGGTCAGACCAATGCATGTAGGCCCACACCCCATATACTGAGTATCTAAACCTCCTGGACCCTCTCAGATTCGGCACCGGCCGTTCCATCTCTTCCATCCTCAGGACAGTCAAATCCTCCTCCTCCACGCCGCAACCCCCTGCTCCGGGCTGGACGGGCAACTCTATCCCATGCTGGAATGGCTCCACTGGAGCGTCCTTTGCCGGGTGCAGTGAGTGCCAGTGGGCTGGGCTGCCTGTTAAATTGGTCGGGTTCATCCCAAGTGTCTCACTGGGGTGGCTGCCCCGACCAATGTCTCCCACTAATTCTTTCATACTTGCGGCTTTGAAATGGTCTCATTGGACCTAAGGGCCTAATCAAATTTCGAGTGGGATAACAACCAGTAAAACGCCTCTTGGGGCGACCAACGGAGCGAGCGAGAGGGTGGGGTCAGGGTGGGCCTTGCACGTGCGAAATTTTCTTTCTTTCTTTCTTTCTTTTGTTGGTTAGGTGCTTCGGTCTTTTAGACCATTTCGCAACGTGTGCGAAATTGCGAGGGAATACCTCCAACTAACTTGTGCACTGCACCCTTCTAACCGGTCCCAAACGATGTGCCAACTTTGAGCGCAATCGGCCCCGCCGTTCTCGAGATCTGGAAGCGGCACCCTGCACGTGCGCACGTGCAAAATGGGTCCCAACTGACTTTTGCACGGCACCCTACTAACCGGTCCCTAACCATGTATCAGATTTCAGCACAATCGGTTCAGCCGTTCTCGAGATCTGGAATCGACCCCTGCATGTGCGCACGTGCAGCAGCACCCCAACTGTGGCACACGGATATGCATTGCCTAGTGGGTATACCTACCTACATGCCAACTTTCAGCGCAATCGGCCCAGTAGTTGCCGAGATATTGAAATTGCTACAAAACTGTCACCTCTTCGTTTTTCACGTGGCACGTGCATATGGGGTCACTCACATGCATCGGGAATAGTCCGATGCTCGTTGAAGGAATGAATCTAGTGCTACCCTACAAAAATTACCGCATGTAAATCGGTCAAGTGGTTGCTGAGATATAAGCCTAGCAAAAGCGTGACCACGGCATACTCAGAAAGAAACGAAAGACTACGCTCGCTTCGCTCGCTCCGTAATGAGTTTGGGGGGGACGTCCCCCTTCCATTCTGAGAGTGGGGGGACGCGTCCCCCCCGTCCCCCCCGGTGGCGGCGCCCATGACCTTGACACCCATTCTAATGCATGGGAGCAACATCAAATCACATGTTTGAACGTTTGAAACCACGAAAAGCTTCCAAACGCGCGGCTAATGCGAGCCGACATACGCGGAATCGCGATTCCGGCCAAACATGGTCTCGGAAAAGAGGTCACAGGTCAAAGGTCATTTGGGTCAGGGTCATGAAATTTTCAGGGTAGGTGTAAAATTGATCAATGAGAGGGTACTGAAAGTTTCGTCGCGATCGGCCGCTTTTTACGCGAGTTATTCGCGAAAAACCATGGGGGGGTCCATCCGACCCCCCCCCCCCCACACATGCGAGGGTTAAAAATCCTCAGTCGGCGCACGTGCGCTTGTCGAGTCGGGGACCACCAGTCGGACGATTCGGAACTGCCGGCCAATCAGCACGCCGCTTTTGTGATGTGGTAGTTTGAGAACCACTGGATATGGTAGCGTAGCAGCTTTTGGAAAGGCGCTACGCTACCAAATCCTCCCCTATTTGTCGCTTAAAGAGGGAATTGAAGGGCAGGATAAAATTACTTCAAAATATGAATTGTTGAATTTCGAGTATTAAATAAGCCCAATTTATATTGTTTACAGCATAAACGATGCTTAGTATGCTTCTAACAACAATAGCGTCCATAGCAACGTTATACGCAAGCGCTATGATGCCTAAAATTCGATCTGAAAATAGGGGAGAAATAGGGGAAGATTAAGGGAACCCTATGTAAACACGGCTATTGGCACGCTATTTATGTCATCGGATAGAACAGTTAGCTAGTTAGTAAGAAGAATGTTGTTAGAACAGATAAAACGGATATTTTAATATGATTCCCCGTGCGTTCTCGGCTTTTTTACTGCAATCAAAGTAAAAAATCCAGTGCAGAAAAGACTGCACGCGTCAATAAAATAAATCACGCGTTAATTTTTTCGTTTTACTCTCGACAGGTTTTGCTTCTTGTTGACGAGCGCATTCAAGCTGCTCTTCTAAAAGCCAGTGATTGTTATCTGGTTTTGCTCTACATATTTGTGAATTTCTTTATATTATTTTTCTGATCAGCTGTTCAGTGGCACGTACACCAACTGCACCTTCCACATCAACATCAGTGACAAGATCTAGAAGCAGATCGGTTCAGTTACCCGCAGTGTAGATGTACCCGGACGTACAGCGACTGCGCCGTTCAGTTACCTTCGTTTAGTATGCCACGTAGCATTTCTCTCCATAGGTTTGTTACTGCAGGTTTAATGCAATACACGATTCTTTGGCAGGCGCAAATGCATGAGTTTTCTTACATCGGTGCCATAAGAAGTTGGATGGAATGGTGACCAATATATACGCTAAATCATACGTTTAATTGACGCGTGAATCAATTTTTGCTCCCCCAATAAGCCAAGCCCCTTTTTCTTTAACTCTCTCCCCCCAAAAAAAAACCCTTTAATAATCCTGACCGGAGCGCTGAAATACTCAATGCTAAGAACTTGAACGACACGGGGAGTCATACTAAAATAGATTTTATTCACGCCTTCCCGTGAGTAAAGGATATTTGATGCACTCATGGGATCATTTAAACACTCGTGTGTAAATGATCCCACTCGTGCATCAAATATCCTTTACTCACGGGAAGGCGTGAATAAAGTATAAGTTATTAGAAGTCTTTAGAAATGTCTCGCTCTGTCCTCCGATCAATAAAGAAAACTCGAGCTACGGTTTTCAGAGATAGGTTCAGTTATACATTCATATAGTATTTGGGCGATACCTTTACCTGAAACATCATCTAGGCTCAGCGATTGAGGAAGAAGAAAAGTACATTAAAATGGTGTAAAGAATGAACAGTTAGGTATATGTGGTCCACCTGGCACATACACACCGATGTTTTCTTTCAAAGAAAACGATGCTTTTGAAGAAAACATGGACCAATGATTTCTTTCAACGCACGTTTTTGCTAAATTTCGAACCGAGCCATTTAAGCTGCTGAACGCGACGCCTTCAATTAGTCAGTCATGTTTTCTTACAAGTCATTCTCATCCCCGCAGGGTTTACCTTCAGCTTCCCCATGATCCAGAAGTCGCTGGACGTGGGAATACTGCAGACTTGGACCAAGTCCTTCAAGGCGTCCGGCTGCGTGGGCCAGGACGTCGTCAAGATGCTGAACGAAGCGCTGCATAGGCGCGGGGACATCAACGTCGACGTCGTCGCCATCATGAATGACACAACAGGTGAGCATCCTGATGAGCAGCGATGTGTTTGAGGTAGGTTGGGGTTGGATTTGTGTCGTCTTATAGCATGTCGTTAGATATTTAGTTGGTGTTACAGCGGCCAGGGTAACGACGACTTAGTAGGAAATGTTTTCTTACATGCTCACTGGGCTTGCGATTTGATAATTTCAAATATAAATGAATGAACAGCAATGAATAACCTTTCCACAATGCCATACGGGTGGCATCAGGAACTATACAGAAACACCCGATTGCGTTGTCCGACAATGCAGTATTTTGGTTATGATACGCTGTTTCTTGTTCTCACATTCAGTACCAATCTGACGACAGAATTACGCTGGACTAGCGCATTCAGCCATATCTTATCTCCAGCTCACATTACTCGGCACATTGCACACAAACGCACACACACTACACAACCAGCAAATACGACAAACTAATGCGCATTTCTGGTATGTAATAATTCCGATAACCTGCTGCCTAGCTCGTCGCATTGTGTGGTGTGCTTTCCTTCACAAAAACGACTTCGTCCATCTATCCTCCAAAGCGACCAATGCTGCGTACCGAACAATAAAAGGGGTTTTCCCCGGTGTCCAGGAATAAATGCGTACATCCGTGCTACCGTAGCCATTAATCCTGCATCTAGGCATGGCACGACGGAGAACGACTAGTCTGGTAAAAATAGACCTGGCCTAGGACTCCGGCAGCGTGTCCGTACAATCTGTTGCCCATATCATGCGCCAGATCTTCCCTCCCCCGCCTCAAAGACCTTCCCCAACAGCAAAATACCATCTTGAAGCTACAAGACAATACAATAGTTTAATTAGATGATTTCAAAGGGGAAAAGTGGATGCGAACAAACGGAAGGCTTTCTTTATCTAAGAAGCTCATTGCCATGACTCAATAAACTATTCGCTGAATGCCAAATATAAAAGGAAACGGTTAAATAGATAAAATTGGTCAAGTTTCGAAATTACACACATTCACTCGGGCGTCGTTTCCTAGCTCTCACTTTTTCCTCGCCCCATTCGCGATTTTAATGACCGTTTCAATTGCTCGAAGTCAAATGGCCTTTCCCTACTCCAACGCAACAAAAACCGCACCCTCGACACCCATTTCAGCAGCAGCAGCCCTCCCAGCAGTGCGCCCTGTGCCACTTCTCTCTGTGTTAACCATATTTGCTCGCTCATTTGGCATTGACATTTGTCGAGGACTGGCGTTCTTTGCGTACCCATTCACTGACATGGTCACACCGCCTTTTGCACACCGACTGAATACCCGCGCAGAAAGTAGCACTAACTCCCGTGTCATTTATCCTCGACCGGGCGAACGTGGGGGTCGATCGATATATCCACCCCACCCCCATCGGCCCCACCCCCTGCGCCGAGGGTGAGGGTGAATGTTGTCGGGTTTGACTCGACGCAGAGACGTTGACCTCGACAAAAATAGAGCGCCGCGGACGATAAAACGCCGTGTTGAGCTAGGACGGGTGCTATGCAGAATTAACGTGTGGCGACGACACGCAAGTCTTTCACACTCCATAGCGAAAAATAGCAAATGAAGCACTACGAGTGCGGATAAGACCGTACAAATGCATTCAGGAATCTATAGAAACGTGTATATTGCGTCGCCTGTGAAATGAAACACCATTAGTAACTGACGGCTTAATGATGCTCATTATCCAGCCAACACTAACCAGTAGCCAATGTTTGACACCAATTGACATTCCCTCCAATGAAACACGACGGGTTGGAGTGCTCGCTAACACCTATACCGAGGCCCCGGTACGCGAGCTGGCAGCGTGCCAAATGTCAGGCGCCGGGCCTCTTCAGTGACCTTGATGCTACCGGTTTTGGGGTTCGACACTCATAGGATTTATGCAATCTGATACATTTACAATGAGCGTGTGCGTCTTCGCTCATGGCTGACGTGCTAGAAAAGGAGTGGCCTTGCTAGCAACGCACATGCGATGAATTCGAAATGGGTGCAAACGAATTCACAGTGATTTTAATCAAGCCGCAAAACTCCATCGCTTTCCCCAAAGCAAACTGCCGTTTGACCTTTGCTCAGACAAATCCTAAATAGTTTTATAATTGAATATCAGTGCCGGTTTTCCATTCGACCGAATTTCGTTGCCAACCGCTCCGTTGCTGGCACGTGGTCCCAAACCACGTGCTGCCCCGCCCCTCTGTCTGCATTCCGATCCACCCCGCTCGAGCTGGATTCCAGTCTACCCCTCCCCAGTCACGCCACCGTCATACAACCGCTGCCGTGTTTAGATTCGTCAGATTAACCCGCGCCCTGCTGGGGGTCCTGGATTTCCACGCCCTGCTGGGGGGGGGGGGTGTTTGAACACCCCCCCTTCTAACTCGGCTCCTGGGCCACGTAGCGATACGCGGAAGGCGGCGTTCGAAAGAACGTCAAAAATAATGACGAAATCACTTCGGTCAATTTTTTGGTCAGGGCAAAGGTCAGGTCACCAGAGGTCATTGAAGGCAAATTTTCGCCGATTTCCAGGTCAAATGTCGAAAATTTCCAAGAAGCCAACGCATAACTCGGGAACCAATAGAGCTACAGCGCCGCGGAAAAGCGCATTCGATAGCCCTATTAACGCCCTTTCTGAGTAATACTCTCAGATTTGACCTAACGTCAACGGTTTTGCCTGCAGGGGGCAAAAACTGCAAAAATAGCCGATTTTTTCGAAAACAGTTTTTCTGCAATAACTTTTGACCCAAGCCTTGTACGAGCTTACTTTTACCGCCATCGTGTTCCTCTCGTCAAGACGCATCGAATGAACTATAACTTGACCTTGAAGGGTCAACTTGAAAATTTGACCTCAGGTCAAGGTCATGACCTGACCGGAAAGGGTCATGTTGCATATCAGTCGATCCGTATCGTCGAGCTGAACACATCTAAGGCGTTTTCATCGCTCTAGAATGCCTCTATCAAAAGTTATTTGCGAAAAACTGTTAGATGCCATTCGTGACCTGAGATGACCTCAGGGCATAAACAAGGGTCACGGACACCATTTTCAAGTTCAGTGTGTCTAAAACACTTGTAATTCGGTGTTTGGGAGTGTTTATAATGTCTTTCATCCAAAAGAGGCTCATTTCAATTTTCTCCCATTGACTTATAATGGGGAGGTCGCAAAATTGACCTGACCTTAGGTCATCGATATCAAAATTCTGAGATATACATTTTGTACATGCTATTGCCCTTAGCAACCGCTGAAAGTTTCAAAGCGATCGGTCACTCGGTGTAGCTATGACAGACATTGAAAGTTTTTATGAGGTGAGGTCACTTCAAGTGACCTGGTGACCTGACCTTGAATGACCTTGGTCTGAAATTTTCACAACATGTGTAGAATTGATGTATGATAAGGTGTACCAAAAACGGCGGCGCTCCGCGCCGCCGTTTTTGAGATATTCGCGAAAAACCACAAGGGGGGGTGTTCAAACACCCCCCCCCCCAGCAGGGCGCGGGTTAATGCTGGCAAACTCGTGCGCCGAAGCGGCGGGATATCTCCTCACCCCGTCCCCATGGGATTGGACCATCCCTTCGACGTGCCCCCACCGGGCCCCCAGCGGGCCTCCAACGCCCAATGGGCCCCCGACTAGCCGCGGTGCTATGCGGAATTTCACCAGACTCGCTGCGACCTCGAGTGATGTGCAGCCTACATGACCTCCATAACACAAACTTTGGAGCGAAAGCATGCCGGCGGACCTTTTGCAATGATAGGGCATAGTTGCAGCCATGGGTGGGGAGGGGGAGGGGTCATCCAGGGGTGGGAGGGGAAGGGAGGGGAGCAGAGGGGAGTTTATGGTCGTAAACGCTGTCGTGTGTTTGCGTGGCGCCAGATGGGCGCCGTGCTGGTCGGTGACATGCAGATAAGAATGTCTGACATTTCAACACGCGACCATAAGTTGTCTGAGCCAATTGCTGTTGATATTTTCACTAGAGGCGTTTCTGATTTTCATTTTTATCTCGTATTGTCGGCTATTGGCAACCATAACTTATAGGGGTTTGTTATGGAGATGTATAACTTATGCAGGGTTTGATGTCGTATTTTTACGTTGAACAGAATTGGGAACAACTTGTTGGAAGAGTGCCACGGCCCACGAAAATGTCTATTTTTGAAGGAAACATGTTGTAGATTTCTTTTGTGCGGGCTATGACTATCTGGTGGTGACTGCAAACTTTAATTGAGATGAACTGGAGGGCACAGACACTAACAGACCACACATGGGGCTCCGTTTCCGCATACCCGAGTCATTAGATAATAAACATTTTGCCATATGGCTGGGCAGGCGATACAGCCTGCTGGAAATGTTACAAAACTTGCCTCCGGATTAAGAAATATCCGCCGTTAATTTAGAAAGAACGATGGACGCTAAGTTTCATGTTACGTTCTGGTAACCTGGAAAAAAAATAATAAATATATTTTACAAATTCGTCGGTGCTCATTCGTTCTCTTATGAAAAACCACGCGCGCGAAAACGAGACATCCGTTGTAAATTCCGTCCGCCTTTTTGCGTGATAATTCTCCTTCCTCGGAATTACTGCTGAAATGGAAACCGTTCCACATCCGTCGGCGTCCAAAAGTGTCGCGTGTTGCCACCCGGTCAATCTCTGGGAACCATGGTTCAGACTCGGGACCTCCTTCTGGCTCGCTCCCATGCGGCACAGCCGTGGTGGGACGGATTTTACAACGGAACCCAGCTGCCGACACGAAAATATAGCTGTCGTGGGCGAACCGGAAATTCGTTTTATTACACAAGCCTGAGTGGCACTGTGAAAGGATGTATTTCGGGTCTTTTGTGCTACGGAGACTTTATACTCTGGTGCCTTGTAAATGGACGAAATCAGTTGGATTTCAAGCGGATATTCCCTAGCAAACGCTCACAAGCAGCTTACGTTACCACTATCATTAGTTCACGAATCATTGATGTCAACAAAAAGGGTGTCAAACAGATGCAGATTGATCTCCGAAATCCCAACTAAGCTATTCATTTCTCCAAACGACGCGGCCAAAAAATGTCCGAAAACAATTATTGGTGTCCGGCTTTCAAACAGTGTCAGTAGTCTATGTTTGATATCCCATCAAAAGCAAATGTTCGCCCCAGATAACCTATGAAATGTGCATACGCCATGTTACCCTGAATTGGCAGAGTGACCTTATCTTCATTGCGTTTTTCTTTTTACTCTGACCTTTGGTCGCTATTTGAACGGGCCTAAGAAATTTAGCTAAGAAATAAAAATAATTTTGTGCAATATGCTGCAGTTGCGCACAAGTATAAGGTGTATTAATGACACACTCTCGCACATTTACTCTTCCGTGACTCATCCTGAGCGTACCAAGAGACCCAGCTCTGACCTGACCTCCCTCCCCTTTCAGGCACTCTGGTGCAGGGTGCCTCTCAGGACCAGCATTGCGCCATCGGTGTTATTCTGGGCACGGGTAGCAACGCCGCCTACATTGAGAGGGTGGACCGGGTGAAAAAGTGGGACCACCACCAGAACGGAATCAAAGAGGTGCGGAGTGTGAATGAGTAGCGTGGATATTTGTAGACGGATGAGTTCATGGATAGCTGAGTGAATGAGGGTTTCCCATGTGTTTGGTGGAGTGATCGTTACACACGAGTTACAAATAGCTGACCAAGCTGATAACATTTTGCTGCTTTTGCCATTTTTTGTTGTGTTCGACTTGAGGAAGATACTGGAATCGTGTTTGAATGGTTGATGGAAAATAATTATTACTGTAGTCATCCAATATGCATGCATTCCTGAAAATGATACGCTGTTAACCATGAGCTCTGTCATTCCACGATATGAGCACCAAATAGACATTGTCTACTCCTAGCTCATAACCTGAACCTGAACCTGAACCTGAGCTAATGCTGTTTGCTAATAATAGCTCTGTCGCCCAATCCTTACCGGCCCAATCTGGATGCCTTCACAGGTGGTCATTGACGTCGAGTGGGGCGCATTCGGTGATAACGGAGTGCTCGACTTTGTGCGGACGGATGTCGACAGAGCAGTGGATGACCTATCACTGCTGGTCAGCTCCTTCACGTGAGTTTGTCCGCGTGTTGGTCAACTCCTTCACGTGAGTTTGTCCGCGTGTTGGTCAACTCCTTCACGTGAGTTTGTCCGCGTGTTGGTCAACTCCTTCACGTGAGTTTGTCCGTGTTGGTGAAATTATTCACGTGAGTTAGTTCTTGCTGATGAACTGCTTCACGTGAGCTAGTCTTTGCCGGTCAACTTCTTCACGTTAGTCTTTTTCAACCGTGAACCGAACATCTTGCCGTGAGGCGTGAGTTAATATTTTGATTTGTCCTTCATGGAATTAATCCGTAATAAACACACCATCAATGCAAACTTACAGATCATTGTGTTCTTTGCTGAGTTAAATAGATGCTTCTTACGGGAAATATTGAACAAAGTGTAAACTTGATTAGACTTAATATGCTAATTTATGTTATCAAAACTTCACCTATTCTACAGGTTTCAGAAAACCTTCACGGGAAAGCGCCTCATTAGTGCCAACTTGGCGTCATTTTTACATGCTAATTATTACCACGAACTTTTATTTCCCCCGGCAGGTTTGAGAAGTACTTTTCGGGGAAGTACCTTGGCGAGGTGTTCCGTCAGTGTATGCTGAAGGCGCACCGTGATGGGGTGCTCTTCGAGACCGTATCGGAGAAACTGAACACCGCCAACAGCTGCACCACAAAGCATGTGTCCATGCTGGAGAAGTGAGTGAAAAGGGAGAGGGGGAGGGGAGGGGAGGGAGAGGGAGAGGGAGAGCTGGTAGGGTAGTGTTAGATGGACAAAGTGAAGTGTGAGATAGAGAGGAGAGAGGAGATAGGAACATTGGATAATTTTCCGATATCCCCAATTTTAGGGGGTGTTTTGTATTCACCAGCGCACAGTCGGCTGAATTTCCCCTTCATGGAGTACAAAATCAGAAATATCTGTTTCAAGGATTCGGTATGAAAGATTCGGTACTCATTCACAGATTATAGCTCCACAAGGTTTTTTACGGAGCGAGCGAAGCGAGCGTAGTCATATATGGCCTTGGCGTAGTCTTTCCTTAGATTAACGGAAATTTCTGAGTGTGAGCGGCCGGCCGGCCGGCCGTGCGGACGCTTTTGCGAGGCTTATATCTCAGCAACCACTTGACCGATTTACATGGGGTAATTTTTGTAGGGTAGCTTCATTCCTTCTACCAAGTATTGGACTATTCCCGATGCATGTGGGTGACCCCTTATGCACGTGCCACGCGCAAAACGAAGAGGTGTCAGTTTTGTAATTGTTGCAATATCTCGGTAACTACTTGGCCGATTGCGCTGAAAGTTGGCATGTAGGTAGGCACCCACTAGGCACTGCATATCCATGTGCCAGAGTCGGGGTGCTGCTACACGTGCGCACGTGCAGGGGTCGTTTCCAGATCTCGAGAACGGCTGGACCGATGGCGGTCAAATTTAGTACATGGTTAGGGACCAGTTAGTGGGGTGCCGTACACAAGTCAGTTGGGACCCATTCTGCACGTGCGCACGTGCAGGGTGCCGCTTCCAGATCTCGAGAACGGCTGGGCCGATTGTGCTCAAACTTGGCACATCGCTAGAGACCGGTTAGTAGGGTGCCGTGCACAAGTCAGTTGGAGGTACCCCTCGAAATTTTGCACGTGCAAGGCTCACCCTCTCGCTCGCTCCGTTAGTCGCCCCAAAAGGCGCTATACTGGTATCTATAATTCAAAAGTCAGGTCGACGAGGTCCACTGCGACGTCTCGGCGCCTTACGTAAGTCCATTTCCAGTGAAACGAAAATGTCAATTCCGCATCCATTGCAAAGTGGCTGCCAAATATCATCAGGTACAAACTTCCATCTCATTCGGCGCAAATGCCAATGCCATGTACCGCCTAACTCTTCCCCGAGTCTCGAATATCCATTCAATTATTGCTAATCTCGGACCCTATGAATGGACCCAACTTATCTCCCAGTGACTTCATATTCCAGATAAATCGTGACCTGACCTAATCCTGGCGCATTCAAGCAGCTGCTCACAAATCACCCCGATATTGCATCCACACGGTCTCTCTAAGGCCTGTCTATGCCTTTCTGGGATCCGTTTTGCACCCATTGGCGTCGCCTTTTGAGGTCAATCTTGCCCGGCTTTTGGGAGAATCTTGGGCCTCAAGTGAGCCGTCGCTTCAAAGTTCATGATATTAAAGGCTTAGCCTAACAAGTTCGTGTTTTTTGCCTGTCGCTACATTGGAAAAAAAAGACGAAACAATGATGGTGGTGCAAAAAAAATAATTGATTCAGTTATTCCTGGCCGTATTGAATCGTGGATAAGCAGCCGCGCATGCTCGTAGTTACTGCGAATAGTTAATAAGGTTTTAAAACTTAAATAATTTAAAACATGAGCTTCTATATTTGTCGAAGCATCTACTTTGCATGTACTGTCTGTCACTTAAGACAAACTCCTATCGGCGCCACCAATCTCCCATTTACACCACTTGGTTCAACTGAGCAATCAGAAGTTTCGGCCTCCGACTCACTGGGACCGATCGGCCCAATTTCTGAGGTCGGCCCCGGCACGTTGTGTCCATTGGACGTCCTCCATCACTGTCTGGTGGAGACGTAGCGCCCCACTCTAGGAATCCCTGACCCGCGTCGGCAACGTCGGCACGCGTCGGTACCGTCGTCGTTTTCGACGATAGCAGCGACGGTGGCCGGTGACGACGGATAAGCCCAGAAGGCCATGAGACCGGGTAGCAGCGACAAGAATCGTTCGCCTGAAGTCGACATCAATTGGAGAGATCCGACTGTTCTAAGCCGATAGATGATAAGGACACATTTCGAGCCGGAGCCAATTAAGCGTCGCCTTTTTCCTCAGAAGTCGCTGCCGTACGGTAATTGACAGTTTTTGCGACTTGTGGCAGAGACCAAGTGAAATCGGTGTGAGGGGTTAAAGTGTAGAGTGGTTTTTTGGATACAATAGACATTAAACATCCGGCATTTGATAGTCCCATGCTCAGAATATCCCGATCAGGTAATAAGAATCAGATCTTCAATGATCCCGATCAGTGAGCTCCACGTAAAATGAGTTTTGACTTCGAACGCCAACCGAAATAACCATGACTTAATTTAGGAAACCAATGAAACTCTCGTATTTTCGGCGGCCGATTGCCGCTCTGCCGTCGGCACGGGGCCTCTCACTCCGTGGGTCAGTCCGCAGTCGGTGTAGCCGCTATATTCGGGGCCAGTCCAGAGGTCCAGCGTCTATGACGTCACCACAGAGGCGGATCCAGGCCGGGAAATAGGGTAGGTCCCCGGCTCCTCCCTCAGCCTTTTTACTTACCTGGAATCGACGTCCTATTTTGTGTCTGTGGCGGTGTGTTGGGTAATTTACGCCCGATGTCCTTGCTGCTCCTTTAGTGATCGATCTCCCGAGGTGTCCTTCCTTTTCCGTGTCTCCTCTTTTATCTCGTCGCTGTTATCCATCTTGCGCTGATGTTCTGTCTTCCACTGAGCCTGAGACAAAAACTCGAGTCAGTAAAATGTCGACGAGCTACACAATCAACCAGCTGATGTGCTTCTTTTACCGAATCTTAGAAATTAGGTAACTATAAATAATAAATCCTTCCACATTCATTCTAAAGCTTTACTAAAACTGGACGAATCCCAAATCTTCCCTGACAATCCCGGAGAACTCTGAGCGTCCCCTTACCACCGCCTCTGGGCGCCGAGATCGTCCGTCGGTGTCGGGTCATATTCACCACGAGCCATTCGTTTCCCGGGGGGCGGGTCACTTGTCTGTCATCAATTCCCCGTGGTGGTGGCGCTAGCGGAAACGATTTTCGCTCTATACGGCTGCGAGCTTACTGGTCTTGGGAGGCCCGCCGTGGTGGTGGAGACTGGTATTTTTAATTTGTTGCAATTACGATTTTACGTTTTTAATGTCTCCTCCTTGATTAGTTTTTTGAGAGTTGCAGATTGATAACAATTTACAACTGTCACATAGCTATGAGCCATTTTCAATTTGCATCAGTAGGATGAATGGGGTTTATTTCTAAATTCGTTTAGTGCTTGCTGAATGTAAGGCATGATGTGATCATGCCTTACACGGGCCATGATGTGATCATGGCCCGTGGCCGAAAATTCATCTAAAACAAAAAATACATGAGTGAAAAGTATAATTTTGTAAGGAGGTCATTTAAAATGTTTATTTCTAGTTCGGTTCTGATCGGTTACAAACATAAGTTTCGCTTCCGATACAGAATCGCAATCTGTTACCAAGGCCGTGCCCGTAAGGGACTAAAGGAATGGAGGGTGGGGAGAGGGAGGGAAGGAAGGAGAGAGAGAGAGAGAGAGAGAGAGAGAGAGAGAGAGAGAGAGAGAGAGGGAGAGGGTAGAGGGTAAGCCCACTGAGCCCCGAAGATAAGTGATGGATATTGCATGTCGATGAGATGTGTGCGACTGGTGTGATCCCCGGCTTTGGCCGTCTTGTCGCGGGGTTTCTGGATGATTTGGTCATGTGGAATGGGTCGGCTCAAAAGGCCTTTACCATAAACACCACCACAGCAGAACTGTTCTTATCACGAAACCATTTCTATATGTATTTGTATATCTTTTGAGTGTTACCAAACACTTTTGCCAGCACCCTGTGACCTAAGACCACCCGTCTTTAACTAAAAACTGAAGTGAAGTACCTAGCCCTAACTCATCCAACAATTATTCTCTCCTTCGATAGGTAGGCATGGACCGTTCGCCTTGCGACCACATTGTGATCAGCCGTGCTTCGAATCACTCTGTGTGACACTGACAGCACAAGCTACCTTCAGAGTAATAATTCATTCATGGCACATTACCTCCCCCTCCCTAATTCATCATGCCCCCTCCCCTTCCCCCACCTCATGCAGCCTGACCAGTGTCGTCACCTAGCGCCGACTGATTGAACCTCTGTTTCACCAGGGACACGATAGATGGCACTGGCCACCACCTGGAGGCGGTGATGGAGGAGCTCCAGCAGACTCACAGCGCCGCCGATCTGGTGGTGCTGCGCTACATCTGTGCGCTCATCACCGTCCGGGCGGCCGTGCTCGTGTCAGCCTGTGAGTTTTGTATGATAATTTCAGCATGTGCTTACCTTTTACATCCCAGCTCGTCCCGAGATCTTATAGGAAATTTCAGCATGTGATTTTTATCATTACAAATTTCAACCAGTGTTTTTCTAGGTACAAATTTCAGCCAGCGATCACTTTCTACACCCAAGCCCAGACTGTCCGTTTTATGTAAAGTGCACATGTGCGTCATACTGTCGGCCGTGGTGCTGAAATCGCAGGCCTATGGCTATATTTACTGACTGCTTTGAGTCTCAATTTCCGTCTTGTACGCCTCATCGGGCGAGCTTGCCATTCTCTCAATGGATCATCCAATTCCAGGTGGCCCTCTCTCCTTCCTGCCCTTCTCAAGCCCCACTGACTCTTATCTTATCCCACCGCTATATCCAAACCTGCCTCTCGATCCTCCCGTGCTCTCCCCACTAACTCCCTCCCTCTTTCCATGGCAGGTATATCGGTGCTTCTGAAGCGCATTGACCGTGACGATTGCAGTATAGCGGTCGACGGAACCCTGTTCAAACTGCACCCGAGACTGGCCAGCCTCATGGAGACAGCTATCGCTGTGCTGGCTCCCAAACACAAGGTAAGGCCGTTTAACAAAAAAGGCGAAACACTCGGTCTTCAAAAATTGATTATGTGCCTACTTAGTTGTTTTTATGTGCGAATGGACGATCATATGCTTGTAGATGTCTACCAAGTCCCACACATAATTTACCTATCGTTCACAATTAAGTATGCTAGACAGTAACTTAGGTGTTGGCTACAGTCATGTCAAGTCGATCTCTGACCGCCAACATCTTGCTCATGGCTGCTGACGGTTGAACACTGACTGACGCATTCTATCCTTTATTCTTTTCAGTTTCACCTGTTCTTGGCTGAGGACGGCAGCGGCAAAGGAGCGGCCCTGGTAGCCGCCGTGGCCAAGAGACTACGCAACCGAAAATGAAACCACACGAAGACTAGCGTAGGGGTGTGAAAGTGGACCGCAGAATTGGTGATTTTTCGGTAAAAATCGCTGTGAAAAGTCAGCAGATCTGACTGCCAGGCGCTGGACAGTGGTTAGGATGTCAGCCGGTTTTGAGAGACGCCGAGAAAGTCGTGGATTGTCTAAGAAAGTCGCCAGATCTGGGGATTTTGCGTCGCTGTGATGTCAATTTTGCTGCAACTTGGTGATGCGAATCAGAGTGTCGATGCGTCAAAGACGAATAATTAATTGTTCGTATAGTGATGACAAGCCTCACAACACGCGACTTGTTGATTTGTACAGCTGGATGGACTCGTAGCTCAATGTTCTTGTACAAGAAGATTTAAATAGTTTTCTTTCTGCAAAGATTTGACAAGATGAGACTATAGAGAGTTATGATCGTTGCCAAGCGAAAGTGAAGTTACTGTTTAATAGCACGTGCATATCTGCGAAAAGGCGATGAATGAATGAAACATTTTAAGAGAATGACAAAGATACGGATGAAGCAACAATTTATTTCTTTTGAAATACGTAGCAACAGCCCCGTAAAATTGCAATAGTGATTCGCTCACAGCGATCTATTGATAAAAAGTGTCGTTGGATAAACGAAAGTGTCGTTTTGTAGACAACATGCCGGTAGGTTCGTTGTTAGGAATGGTGATACATGTATGCTGTGTTGGGGTTTTGTAGTGAAAATGCATGCGTTTTTATTAGTAATTCTTGTCATTGCTCAGAGTGTGGGATGAACGATTTTCATGTGGACTGTCGGGAACTGTGCAATGTTGACTTATTTTCGTGAGAACAGTGTGTGTGATTTGTTTTGAGAGAATGCCTCACAGTGTAAAGCAGAAGTGTGAGAATTGAGCCAGTGTTGTATAATGCTTCGCAATAACGCTACCGTTTTATCCGTTTTTTTTTTTTTTAATCAGCAAGCACTATAAAGAGGTCGAAACGGTATAAAGAGATTAGTTGAGTCTGCCGGAATACCTTCACAAATCCGTTCATTTAAACAACCGGGGTTAAAGTGCCTTGCAGAATGCAGTGTTGGTATTGCCAACAAGTCATTTTCGTAACAAAACGACTTCTTGATCGAAATATTGTGACTGTTCGCACTGGCAGATTTCGAAACTTGTTCGAAACGAAACAACTTGTTCTGATGATCGCGCCAAGACTTTATAATCGTGTGTTTCAAAATTAGGTGCGAACTGCGAGCGCCAAGGGATACTAAGGGCAACGTACATACTACATTATGTGGTAACTGTTAGACACATGAAACAGTTCGTGTCAGAAAGTTGTTTGTGTGAGGGTAGTGAAGGCAGTGTGGTGGGTTTATATTTGTAGTAAGTGTGATTCCGATGATGTGTTTGGATGAGCAGATAATTGGATGGTGAACTGAGCGCAATTTCTGGTGAGACACGTCGCGACGTATTTTTTCTAATAAATCTAGTGAAAATAATGCTCAAATTAGTATGCAAAGAAATGAGTGCAGTGGAGAAAGGAGAGAGGAGGGAGAGAGAGAGAGAGAGAGAGGGAGAGCGAGAGAGAGAGAGAGAGAGAGAGAGAGAGAGAGAGAGAGAGAGAGAGAGAGAGAGAGAGAGAGAGAGAGAGAGAGAGAGAGAGAGAGAGAGAGAGAGAGAGAAAGAGAAGAGCTTGGGAACACAAGGGAGAGGAAGGGCTGAAAAGGAGAAACTCAAAGAGCCGAGAGAGGATGATGTTTCACGGCCGTTCGTGACTATCGAGTATCTAACAATTGTTTAGACTCGCTTGAAAGTTAAAAAAGTCAATAGAAGGCGGACAAAATCAGGATATTCCAATTCGTTTTCCTCTCTTTCCACCGCGCCCCGTCATCGTCAAAGAGCGAACACCGTCTCGTCTCACCATCCCAATCTGAATCCTGATCCAACCGAAACACGAAGTCGCATGCCTGCAAATGGCCACAGCCACACTCACATAGGATGACAACTGACAACTGACAGCACAATGGCTGGGGCTAATGACCAGAGTCCAGAGGCCAGTTTACCTACGGAAAAATAGCCGCCTGCCGGAATCTTTTGCCTAAAGACCGCTTCACGCGATGGACACGTAACAGTAAGCGGAGAGGGTGTTACCGTTTACGCTCCGTAGGAAGCGCCTTGGTAGGAAGCGATCTTTAGACAATGTGAAGCGGTCTATGTGAGGCGGTCAAGGCAAAAAATTCCGGCAAGCTGCTTTTTTCTGTTGGTAAAACTGGCCCCAGCGCCCCAGCTCTGGCCCGACCCCGAGGCGGCATTTCCTTATATGGAAGAGAAGGGCCACTACTTCCGCCTTCGGCCATGTTTGTTTTGGTTTCGTGTGTCAAGGCCAATCATCAGCAGAAGACCATTGGTGCCCGAGGCCACGAACTAAAGTAGAAACACGATACATCAATTGAAAGAGATATTGCCCACCTGTTAAGTGGGATCCAGTCCATCTTTAGCGGCTTGATTCACCAATTTTATCCCCTTTTACATCACACACAATCACACAACACTTATTACGCAAGAACTGATTATTTACCTGATATTTCCGGTTTCAGCTGTTGACATGACGAAAAGCAAAACCGATAAAGGCAACTAAGAGGAAAAAATTGTGAAAATTAATGATACAATATTTTATGATAATCAAAATTGTATAATATTTTGTTGGGAGCATCAAATTTCATTAGAAATTCGCTTTTTCTGCTTGATTGACTTCCTGCTTTACGAACCAATGATTACAGCTGTCGCTAATAGGTGTCGCTAGTAGGTATACTGAGTGCTGCCTGAACCTGTCCTCAATAGATGTCGCCAGCTTACTGTCTCGAAATCGAAGCTGTCTCAATAGATATCGCTAGCGTTGATTCCTCGCCGAACTGGTTATCAGAGGTGCAAAAACCCGCGTACGCGCGTACCAGGGTACGTGACACAGAAGACAAAAAATCAGTGAAAAAAAAAACACATTAACAAAAAAAAATCCTCAACAGAAATGAAATTTCATGTTTCTTTCATCGACAAATAGGTACCTATTTCCTGAAAAGTTGCATCTCTAACCCATCTCTTGTGCCGCCCGCATCATCCGCCGTTCCTAGCGCCCAAGTCGGCCAGCTGCCCCGAACATTGCCGTCGGCCAATCGCTGCCAATCACGTGAAAGTTTCAGTCCCGTACTTCAATGTTTTAGCCCCATAGGAGTACGCGCACGCCCGTACGTGACACAACCTTTAAAGAATGTTCAGCGGACTGACGTGACACTACCTTTACAGCTGGTTTCTATGGCAACTGCATTGACGACCACTGAGAAGACAAAAAACAAAATAACGCTAGCAGCTAGCGAAATTCAGAACAGTTTTCCTTGTTCGCATGACACTCAAGCACCTAATAAATTACTTGTTTGATTGACGACAACTTAACGAAAAATTATTTTTGAGACAAAACCTATTTTCTACGCTCCAATTTATTTATTTTGAGTATTAACTGGCAAATTGCTTCCTTTCTGCTGTTTTATGACAAAACTCATGAGTTCTTGAAGTACTTGCATGCTTTTTCAAACCAATGCGAACCTTGAACCGGCGCAGAAACGGCGTGCGTGTCCCACGGCTACGCGCTACATGCGTTAGATGCGTGATGTGCTGTTATTTTTGTGCGTTTAACGTTTTGAGTATAGAGCGCAGTGAGGTTTGCGTTGGTTGAGACTCAAGACTTGGATTTCAGTCAAGCCCTAGGCCTGACTTTTTGCTGGATGGACTCCATCAAATAAAAGTAGATTTCGCATAGTGATCAAGCTCAGCTGTATGTAGGCATTCGTAAAAATGGTGTTTCCTTCAAGGGAAAAAGTGTTTTGTGGCTACCCAGGGTGTAACTTTAATGGCCAGCGCCGGTCGCTCAAATGTCACAACAAACGAGTTCATGGAGGTCAGCCTGTGAAGATCAGCAACAGTTCGTTCGGCACTGGCGGACGCTGGTGTAGCTGGATTCATGAAAAGGCAAATCAAAATGGTAAGTGTTTGAAAGAAGCAATAGTGTAAATAATTTGACATAACAGTTACCTACTAGGATTAACTTCCATTATCCGAGATGCATCCATAGCCTGGATATCAACTATAGTTTGAGTTCAGACATGGTCTTACACTTCAACTTGGTAGTTGAACATGGAATCATCAGGGCCATTCCCCTGGATATAAAAAATGTGGGTGTAAAGGGCTACCCAGTTCCAAAATTGCTCTTTTTTTAAGTGAGACCCAAGGTCATTCAATAAATGTGAAGATGAAGTTTGGGTATTAGTATATATTAGGACCGAGTGGTGGACCCCTGTGTCCCATTAGATGTAGCCAGCACACCCAAGTGGGTTGCATTAGGTATGGGCTGATATGGGCAGCCCGGCAGGTGGATCCCAGTGGGTTTTGTTACATGGCTCCAACTGGACTGGGTCCCATGTGGGACAGCCCAGATTGGTGGGTCCCGCATGGGCTACATCTGGGGCCTGCATGCTGGACCCACCTGGGTGGTAGGAATCTGGACTGTCCCACGTGGGACCCAGTTGGAGCCGTGTGACAAAACCCACTGGGACCCACAATCAGTGTTTCATTTTTCAGCCTTTTTGGTGGCAAATCACACCTAATGGGGAAAATATTTTCATCCCTAAAATATGAATGACCAACTTTACTTCATCTCTGAAAAGAGTTTCATGTATTCCCAACAGCCAGTTCACTTGTCACTTGACAGTTGATCCACCCACATCCTTTTATTCCACACCCTGTCAAGATCCTGACATGAAATCCTGGTTTATCAGTTAGCATAAAAATTGGCATTACACCATTTTGCAAAAATACTGCAGTTATTTACTTTCTTTTTTTTTCATCCTAGGATTTTTTCTTCATCGGCACACCCAACCAATATCCAATCTTAGAACACTGCCCACAATCCACATGGTCTGGCGTCTGCTCATACCAAACCTATATGGGACCCACTTGGGGGTGTGCTGGCTGGGTAGTGGGTAGGTACTTATCAAGCATTCCATGTCAGTATTGTCAGTTTTCTTTAGAAATATTGTGCAGTGTGCACGGAAGGTCCATGTCAGTTATTAAGATTCCCATGATGAAATTGTCATAAAAAAGTAGTTGCCCTGTAGTTCTAAGCTTATTTATGCAGGATCTTCTGGCATGCAAGATCAGATCCATTTTCTGACTATCTGTAACAGTCAATCTACCTACTTTATCTTGCACTGGAACTTCATTCAATGAAATTTGGAAGGGATCAAAGGGCAGTGCTGAACCATGCACTTGAGGTTGTTGTTATTCTCAAGCTATGGCATGAATACCTACTATTGAGTGCCATTTCCTTTTTATGACAATGTAATAATGTACCAATCACTGTCCAGTAAAAATATTTGGAAAATCGACGTTCTCCAAATTTTTACTCTTATCCTCCATCTACTTGTGATGTCAGTTGGACTGGTTGGGGTGCCAGGCAGTGCCATTTCCACCATTTTATTGTTCCATTCAGAGGGCAATGCCACCCTTTCCCTTTTCTTGCACTATTGTCTATCCAGTTCAAACAATAAACATTTAAGGTTTTCCAGTGGGTAGACCTAAGTGAGATCTGTAAGCTATGTCAAACAAACAAGTTGTTTCAATTAGAACTTTAAAAAGCTTGTACAAAGCTACTGCTCAAACCATGGTCTTTGTTATTGACTATGTCTTCCCTGCCTCCTCTTTTCTTGCAGCAGCATCCACTGAAAGTTGTCCCGAGGCTGCAGTTTGTGAGGGACGTCGTCCTGTGCCCAGCAGCAGTAGCGCCCCATCAGAAGGGCGCTCTTTTGTTGAAAGCTCCACTGATACACGCTGCAATGCTGTGGCATCCAAGAGTTGCCCTGTGGTCTTCAAGACTCGCCCAGTTCCACTGAGGTCTGAGAGACTTCCCAGCGTCGCAATCTCCGAGAGGGTGCAACTGGCTGTCATCCCAAAAAGGGCTGAATGTAAGCATCTGTTCACTGAATGCTCATTGTTGACCTTGTGTTGAGTTGTGTGTCTTGTGCTTGTATATAACATTTTACCGTCAAGCTACATTCTTTAAGCTAAGATAATGCAGCAAAATTTGATTGACCTTTATTGTTCCCAGTTACTCCTGGCCCAGCTGGTGAACAGGTGACGACTGGGCGCCAAAAACGACACCTCGATTCTTCCTCTGCCTCGGAGTGCCCAGCCAAAAAGCGCCTGGTCACTCCGTTCTCTGCTGAGCTGGACAGCGGAGCCGTCCCTGCGGACCATGCAGCGCCGCGGCTCCCACGGCCGCCTGCCCAGGAGCTGGAGAGCGGAGCCGTTCCTGCGGACCCTGCAGCGCCGCGGCTCCCACGGCCGCCTGCCCAGGAGCTGGAGAGCGGAGCCGTCCCTGCGGACCCTGCAGCGCCGCGGCTCCCACGGCCGCCTGCCCAGGAGCTGGAGAGCGGAGCCGTTCCTGCGGACCCTGCAGCGCCGCGGTTCCCGCGGCCGCCTGCCCAGGAGCTGGAGAGCGGAGCCGTCCCTGCGGACCCTGCAGCGCCGCGGCTCGACTCTTCACTAGGTAAGTGGGGCCCAATAGGCACGCCGGTGACATGGCTTTGTGTGAACAAAGCCCAGCCGTGATCGGAAAACGGGAAAAAAAACGGGAATCCAATGTTAACTTAACAGTAGAAGCTGGAATTGCTGCAGCATTTGAATCTGCTCTACGTTTTACAGTTGGGCGTGCTTTCTGATTTAGGAGGAAGATGGACGTGATATAGAGTCTTTGTGGTCAAGGCTATCGTGATATTGGCTTGTTAGCATGGGTGTGGATTTCTGCCGAGTTTGGGTTGCCTGAGCTCTGCAATTACACGCCGGCTCAGCAGGCTTAGCTTTGGAACCGCAGCAGACGGCGCGGGTCAAGGTCATCGCTAAGGACGGCGGCGGATTTTCTACGCCTGGGTAACCCCAACTCAACAGAAATCCACTCCTATGCTTGTAAACAAAATAATCTGAGGCTTTTACATCGTGTCAGCCTGTAGTGATTTCCATTGCACTGATCACTGCCTGTATGCTCCTGCATTCAGCTGCTATGAGCTGATGTCTGATTCCTTCTTTCTCTGTTTTGTTGACAGACTCGATGAGTGACCCAGCAGACCTGGCGGCAGCGCCGCGGCTCCCACGGCCGCCTGCCCAGGAGCTGGAGAGTGGAGCTGTCCCTGCGGACCCTGCAGCGCCGCGGCCCCCACGGCCGCCTGCCCAGGAGCTGGAGAGCGGAGCCGTCCCTGCGGACCCTGCAGCGCCGCGGCTCCCACGGCCGCCTGCCCAGGAGCTGGAGAGCGGAGCCGTCCCTGCGGACCCTGCAGCGCCGCGGCTCCCACGGCCGCCTGCCCAGGAGCTGGAGAGCGGAGCCGTCCCTGCGGACCCCGCACCTGGCCAAAGTAACAGGTGCAGTGGTATGTGTTCGGCATGTGGTGCATCCTGCAGTTCCACGGGATTCTCGCCTGCAGATCGGCAGCTGTTGACTCGCATTGAACAGAGGCTGGAACATCTCACGCAGACAGTTGTGCCTGGTGACCAGCTTCGTTTTGTAGACGAGGCTCGCCGGACTCTCACTCAGCTATCGAACAGCAGTGGGCAGGCAGGTGACAGTCATCAGACACCAATGTCTGATGACCCGCAAGTGACTGCCACGCTATTGCGTTCTGGAAGGAGCATTGCAGCTATCCAGAGGGCGACCGGCGGAGATTTGATATGGGACCCATCTGGTAAATATCTCCGGTGTAAAGTCTGCGCGCCGAGTGGTGGCAAGAAGTCACACCATGGCATCTTCGCCTACGATGTAGCATGTGGCACATCGTTTGAAACGGGACAGAATCTTCCCCAACGTTTCAGGTCGCTGAAAGTCCGCGTGGGAGAACACTTCCGTTCAGGAGCCCACAGGGAGGCGAAGACAAAGCGCGCTCAAGAAGAGGCGAGGCAGAAGACTCGCGTTGTTGTGGACGCATCTGCGTCATCGCATGTCCTTCGCTCGACATATTTTGTGCTAAAAAACTCGCTTGGACATAACCTGTTTGAAGACCTAATTGTCCTTCAACACCTGAACGGAACGGAGATCGGAAACATCAATCATTCCCGAATGATGATGGCGACCGCCCGCTCCGCATTCAGTGAAGCTGTCATTGAGAAGGTAAAGGAGCGGATTGAGGAGCAGCCATGTGTATCAGTTCTGGCTGATAAAGTGACTGTCGCTCGCCGCACGGTCGACATCACGGCTGTGCTGATGCTGATGCCAGATGCCGAACCGGACGAGATCTTCCAGAGCTTCGTGGTTGGAGCCCCGATCGTGAAGCAACACGACGGTGATGGTCTCGCAGCTGACATTCGGGACACGCTGAAGAGAGTTGGCGTTGTTGCTTCAGAACAGGTCTCCGCTGTGGCGGCAGATGGGCAATACCACCACAACGATGTGCCGGCCAAACTAGCCCGCATGCTGGACGGCCACTCCGTCTTCCCAGCTGTGTGGGACCACTCCCATCTCATGAACCTGGCGGAGTCTGACGTAAGGAAGGCCGCCGAGATGGCGTGGGTCCAGGACGTGGTGGACCTGATGACGGCAGTCAGTAAGCGTTTCTCCATCGGCAAAGGCTGGGAGGATCTGGTGGCGTGCGGCGAGAAGCGTGGCCAGAGACCCCTTCGACCCAAGCTGTGGTCGGAGACCCGGTTTGCGGCGCACGCGGCTCAGGTGATCACCGTGTTTCGCCGCAATCTGCCGCTTCTGTGCGCCGCGCTCGAGGAGAGGCTGGACGCTGAGGAGGCGCCCAGAGCTGCGCAGCTGAACGAAATGAAGAAAGAGCTGGCTCAGCTGAAAGGTAAGTCATGCTTTTCGAAAACTTAGGTATGTGCTAAAGCTGTTTTTGACATGAATTTTTCCCTTTAACGATGAACGGTCACAGAAAACGAACTTAAGCATATTTGCTATGAGTCTGAGTGAAGTTCATAATTTTATGCATTTTATGCAATTAATGGGTAATAGGCATTATAACCAGATGTGATCGCCATTAATATAGGTATGGTAGTTGGTACCAACAACAGCCCTTTTGTACAGATGCGACGTTCGAGATCCGACTCCGGGCACTTGAAGACATATATTCGGTGCTGGCAACACACAGCAAGGGCGTCCAGAGCACGCGGGCTCTGCCATGGGAACGCCAAGCCAGCCAGACAAAGCTGGTTGATCTGCTGGAGCGCATGCGGGTTGCTCTCGTGGCCCAGTTCAAGAAGACGCCCACTGTGTCGGAGCTCCTGGACGTCTCAGAGAAGGAGGAGCTGTGGCCCAGTCTGCTGCAGAACAGAACAACACCACCAGCAACTGAGGTAAGCTAGCCGCTCCCATAACACGCCCGGCAATATGGGGTTACTACGTGTAACGTATGAGCAACTGCAGGCAGGGATAGTCAGGCTGGTGCCTGCTTTTCGTTTTCTATCCTACACTTGACAGTGCTGCAAATGCTGATTATTTTTTATATGCCTTTGATCAGGTTGTGATTGAGTCTTTAATTGTTATTCTTGTCAAAGAAAATGTGCGTTATTAACACTCAAATAAGCACGATCCTGTATGCTCTACGATAATCATGTAATAAGCCAGTGAGATCTAAATTTATCTGAGCCAGGTTGATCATGAGTAGTTAATGCATTTTGAATACAAGTCATGCCAGCGTGTTTGCTAGCTGTCTTGTCAGCTTCATCGTTTTGCCTATTAAACATGTCCGAGCTAAACAGCTAGCAGATATAAATAATTTCGGTACATGTTTCGTCGTTCAGTGGGGGGGGGGGGGGAGGGGGTCGGGAACTTCAAAGACGTAAGCGCTGGAGCTTTTTTTGCACGCTGCGAAGTGTTAAGCTCACGCCTCCTCGACAGGTTGCCAAGGTGGCTCGCTACTGTTCGAAGCTGACAGAGCGCCTGCAGTTCCGCGGTAGGGGGCAGGACAAGGGTGGATCTCAAAAAGGTACGTCCAACGGAGCCATCGCAGACAGCATGGACGACATCCGATGTGTGGCTGACATCCAGCAGGTGGCTGTGTCCAACACCCCGCCACAAATTCTGGCTCGTCAGGTTCACGAAGCCAGTATGAGGCTGGCTGGACGGAAGCTGGTCCCTCTGTCCTCCGTCCCCACGGCACGGCAGATCGAGGCGGGCATCGTCCTCCTCCGTGTCCATAAAGCGCGCACCAGCCCGGAGCTGTGGAAGGCGCTGGTGGACAAACGGGGCGGAGACCCGGAAGCCAGGAATTACGGGAACCTGGTGACGCGACTCTGGCTCGTAAACCCCCCAGAGAGTGTAGTCGAGTCTATGGCGAGCGTCATTGGTGAAGTGTTTGGTGAACACCGCCAGCTCGACCACACCAATGCGGCTGCTGAACTGATTGTGCGCTGGAACGGGCCAGCTCTTAGTAACGCTGGCCGCCTCATCCGCAGCGTCCAGCAGCGTCTGTCGGCCAACAACACGTTCAGATGCACACGCCGAAACGTGTCCATAACACAGGCGTTTGAGGGCACAGTTATCTCACGCCACAAAAGGGCACCTGATGCGAAGGCATGTGTATGGAAAGTTTGAGGACGTGTGTAACGCAAACCCCTGGAAAAGTCATTTACACGTACAGTCCACAGCAGAAGTAATGTGGGGTTTCAGTCATGGGTATGTTCTGTTTCTGAAGCTTAGGAACGATTAGCCAGACTACAATGAAACTTTGAATGTAGCTTATATGTATCGTCACCCTTGCAGCTGCAACTTTAGCTATTGACATCTTCTTTTCGATCACTCCGCATTAAACAATCGCCAGTCAAAGCCAACCCTTGTGATTGGTAAAACCCTACATTACTTTAGCGGTGGGCTATACCTCATCTGATAGTGTACTTCTTTGGTATGTGCGGATTTCCGGCCACGTGTAGTCATGCTGGTGGTGCTAGGTGAAAAATTTCGATGTTAAGCGGAGATTTTAGAACGAACTAGATTATCGATCAACTAATTCCACAACGTAAAAGTTCTATCTTATTCTTAAGTTCAGACAGCCCGTCATGCCTATTTAGATAGCTCCGACTGTCGCCTGTCTCGATGTCGGCGGTGCTTGATTCGCGCGGATAATATTATACGAAGGGTACCTCTGCCTGGTTTCAGTGTGTCGCAAAGCGATCATGGTGTAGTTGTATATTTTGTTATCGGCGACGGTGTATTTGAGTGGCAGTGTTTCATGCCACCAGCCATTTGTAGCTCCGGCTGTCGCCCATCTCGAAGTGTTTGCTTTGTTTGATTCGGGTGGACGAAAGTCTGTAAAGGGTGACAGGACTGCTGTTTTATTCAAACGCCTAAGGCATAGAAACATGACACTACTTGTATACTAGCTGTTTGCCTTCAGACCCTACAAGGTGTTGGACATATCAAGCTGAAATGTCATTCTTTGCAAATGTACGATTGCACCCTGGTACTAGGGCAGCATCCAAAGATTGGCGGTTCTGAAGTTATTGACCATTTTAGCTTGTAATATTATGTATGCAAATTCATTAAAATTATTTTTATTTTGGTCAGAAATGTGATGATTTATATGAGGCTACGCAACAAGTTCTCAAAATTGCGACATTCTCGATTAAGTAACAAGATTGACCCACGTGACAGAAATGGCCTGTCAGCAAAGTACGTGACAGTCTCAGAGGTTTTTGCACCTCTGCTGGTTATATAGGTATGTGGAAAGATTCGAACCATCCGTACACACTACGTGTTTGGGAGCTACATACAGCATGGCTGTAAGAGTGGTGGTAAAATTGGTGAATCAAGCCGCTAAAGATGGATTGGATCCTACTTACCAGGTGAGCAATATCACTTTCAATTGATCCGTGTTTGTACTTTAGCTGATGATTGGCCTTGACACATGGAATCCAATGCTTGGGCAACGTGAGAGTTGACGGGGCGACGGGCCCTGACAGCTCCTATTTTGGCGAGGTCGGGTGAACCCAGCTAGCAAATATCGCTATCCCTTTCATCGACTCTTACCCTCCAATGTAATCACTTAGTCGTGTAACTTTTTGTATCACTGACTTGTGTAACGTATTCCTACTTATTTGCGTAACTTGGTCCTGAATGTTGAAAAGTTGCGAAAGCCTTGAATCTCCTTGATGTTACGCCCTAACATTTTTTTCATTATGCTCAGTTTTCTAACCACTCAAAGTTTCCGCACTAATGGGTGTATAGAAAATTCGGGTGTCAAGCCCCTCCCCCTCCGCGAAGTCCTTATTTTCACCATTACAGTAATGTAGTGTCCGTGGAGAGATTAACTATTTGGGCAGCTGCCATCCTCTAAGAGTTCTATTTTTGCTGGATTTGTCCCCTGGCTCTCTGTCCCTCTCCCTCTCTCTTCTTTGTTTTCTCTTTTGTTTTTTTTCTCTTTCTCTTCCTTTCTTTCCATTTCCCTCATTCCATATGGTAAAACATTTCACATTGCAAAGTCATCTTTATTTATATACAAATTCAATCTTGGTGAGTGCCATATAATACGCTACATTCTGATATACGAGGAACTTTGTCGCCACCAATCACATGCTATACAAGCGCAGCACGACTATGCCACACGTACAAACAGCAAGGAACTCTGTCAATACGGACACAGCCTCCGATGCGCGCTCACCAATCAGATTCCGCGCCGCGGCAATCACCGGCGCGGCGGCGGCGGACGGCGGCGCGGCCCGACGCCCGGGGAGGGGGCCCCCCCTAGTCGGCCGCGCCGACCGTCCGGCGTGGTCACCAATAAAACACGGTCAGGGTGGCGTCACATCTCAACAAAACACAACAGACTAACGCGCCGCCACCGGCCGCCGCGCCACCAGCGCCGCCGCGCGGCCGATAACAGAACTATCGTTGCGCTAAAACCCCGCCCGGCGGCGCCACAGACGCCGAGATCACACCGGAGACAAAATGCTAAAAATTCATAGTGTGTTGGCGCGCGCGTGCACTGACGCACAGTCACACCTACAAACGGCTCACCAGCAATAAATAGTCCATCTCAGTCGCACATTCTCACTCTCAGTCACACGACAGCGGGGAAAGTATTTACACATGGAGCGAGCCGCCGGCCGGCCGCCCATCCGCCCCACCCCCTCCTCACTGCGCGTTCACGTATTGAAGTATGACACGACGCTCAGCGGCCCCTCATCCAGACTAGCAGAAACGAGCGCGCGGGGCGGCCCGCCACTCTCGCTCTCACTCACTCCCTCGCTCTTTCCTTCTTCGACTTTCTGACCACCGCCGCCGCCGCTGCCAGCACCGCAGAAGAATCAGAAGTAACCGCGATGACTTTAGGCAGCGGGGAGGCGGCGGCTCAGCGAAAGTCGTCACTACGGCCCTAGGGCGGTCTGTCGCATTGCCGGCTTTGTGGCTCAACAGAGTCCGAGTGAGATGAATTTCCATCATCGATAGATCCAGTGGGCTCTTTTCCGGCTCCGGTCGCCTGAGGAGCTTCCCCGGGAGCCGCGGGAGCAGCGTTGGGAGCAGCGGGAGCGGCCACGGGAGCTGCCGCGGGAGCCGCCGTGGGAGCCTCGCCCGCCGGCGTGTCCTGCGGTACAGTCTGCGTAGCCGGCGGCTGCGGCGGCGTCCACCTATCAGCGGGCTGCAGTTCGATGACGTCAGCCGGGCTCGGCTGCTGATTGGTTGCCGCCGGTATCGTCGGTGGCTCCATCTCGACCACGTGAGAGGTTGGTTGGCGCAGCCCGAACCGGGGCGTCACCTGGCCACTCGACCTGGGAACACAGAGGCCAATGTCAGCTGACGTCGACATCACAGCGTCACAATCGTCACAAAATGCGTCACAGGTCACAGGTGAGAACAAAAACACACCATAATCAGCTAAAAGTGTCACGTTATGTTGTTGATTTTGTCAAGAGTGTCAAGTCAATGTGTCGGGGTTTCACAGATGTCACACAAGATACACAGCCAAAGTGTCGGGTTACGAGCAGAATACGCGTAAGTCGTATTTAGTTCGCACCGCAGCATAATGCACAAGATATCCTGTTCATAGCCATCATAACTGTTCAGCACAAATGTTGTGCTGGGTACGCAGCCTAGCCTATGGAACAACTCACTCAATATCAGTCAATCAAACTCCATTAATTGAATAACTGAATGTTGATACGATACCTGCCAAGGGACAAATGGCTCCTGAGGTAAGAAATGACTTCCCAACCGACGGCTGACCCTTTCTTGCTAAACCACAACCCCACACCCCATACACACTAACCCACGCACCTACATCCCTCCTAACCTCTCATAGCCCCCTCACCCCCGTCTGTGTAACTTACGCCGCCGACTTGCTGCGCCGTTTGCTCCACACATAGAGCAGTCCGGATAGGAGCAGACAGACCAGCAGAGCCACGCCCGCACCTCCGGCGATCGACGCCTGCTCAACGATGGCGTCCCGGGAGCCTGGAACGAGAGGGAGAGCGGGTTAGAGCGGGGCGGGAGAGAGAGAGAGAGAGGAGTGGGGAGCACACCTCATGGGCGGAAGAGGGGTACAAGGGATAGGAGTAATTGTGGCTTGGCTTGATAACATTTGGCCGTTGACATTCGCACACAGGGTTGGGTGTGATATTCCACATAATGGTGGGCAGAAAGACATCGACTCGAAGAAAAGTGTTAATAACTATTGGCTTAACAAATGCCAACAGATTGAGTAATTTCATATCGAAGGGCACGAAAGAATGCCACATTAACCGTAAAAGAAATGACCTGTGATGTTGGAAGATGCATGGTTTTACTTAAGCACTGATCCTTTAAACGTCAGCAATTCCCGCAAAGAAAGCAGCAGGTGCCGGTAACAAAAGAAGGCCAGAGCTGAATCCGATCGTCAAATCCTACTGAATCGGCCACGAAAGACGCTAAGGCTGACACACCCTCAAAAGTACCAACGTAGCAACACCGCAGCTCAACGAACAAAAAGACAGCATGATTAAGCTAACAGCTTAAAAACCACAGAGGTAGAGCACAAAAACTTAGGACAGATTAACTGAAATGCTGTTAGAAGTGGGACGGTGAGATAGCGAACAATCAAGCCGAGATCTAGTCGATCAAAACTTACAAGAGAAAACACTCACTTCTCACAAACTAAGGACCGAGAAAACGAGAGACAATACACAGAAACTCCCACAAAACACATGGGGGCATGCCAGCAAAAACAACCCAACAAAATGGACCAAAACAAAATATAAAAACGGACCACTCGACTGGGCTGAAAAGCGGGGACAGGCGCGCGCCAGGCGGCCAGGCGGCGAAGCTGCAGTTCAAACACCGGCCGCCAGGTGTCAGCAGTGTAGCAGTGCGGTGGCATTAGCGGTACGGCACGAAAAAACAAATAACGACCCCCTCTCGCGGTGCCGGTGTGAAAAACCAGCCAAGTGGGTGTCGGGGTGAAGCGGTGTGAACTCACACAAGGCGGGTGCCACCCACACGCACCCAATCAAACACAATACACCCAACCGGGGGTGCTATTGGTGCCCAAACACGCAACAAAAGCTCTACCTGCATCTCTCGCGCAGGGCGACGTCGGAGTCGGAGTCGGAGTCAGGACAGGATCGGACGGACTCGGAGTCGGAGTCAGAGCAGCAGTAGGAGCAGGAGCTGACCCAGGAGCCGGAACAGGAGTCGCTGGATGAGGCGAAGACGGAGGGACGGATGTTGATGATAATGAAGCGGGAGACACTGATGTAGTGGCGGTAGGACTTGTAGTGTCAGCGGATGAGGGTGATGATGCTGATGACAAAGGCGAAGACCAGCTCGAAGAACTCAGTCCGGCTGGGAGTAAGGAAGGCTGAGAGACATCCCACCCAGCACTAGGCTTGAGTTGAGCCTCAGCCGGGGGTCCAGGATCCCGCCTCCGGCCCGGATCCAGCCCCGGGCCGGGTCCAGTCGGGTGTGGCGGATCCGTGGGAGGATCCAGAGGGTCCAGTGACGTATTCAGGTCCAGGTACGGATCCATCAGGTCCAGGGACATATTCAGGTCCAGTGGCGGATCCCGTGGATCCCAGGCGGGATCCCGGTTTAGGATCAGGTCGGCAGAGGGCAGTAAGAGACCTCTCGACAGCGGAGGACGGGGCTTTGGCCTACCTGAGCGCCTCAGATCTGGAACGCAACGCAGAAAAACGCAACGTGTGAGCTTCCTGCGTGACGCAACGCAACGCAACGCAACAGAGTGGGACTGAGCGCGACGAAACGGATGAGAACCAAACACAGGCTAATGACAAATGTGATAGGTGATTATCTTTCAATAAGCATACACATGTCGGTCATGAATAAGAACATACGAAACCAAACGAAACTCTAAAAGTCATTGAATATTGGAAATAGGCATCCATAGCATCATAGAAGAGGAGCGTGAATTGCCTGACGTGTTTTGTTTATATCAGGATATAAATGGCTGAGTGAGGGACATTCACTATTCTAGTTAGGCATTCACAGCTCAAAGTCGTTTTAGAGATGTGATAAGAGGTGCCGATGTAAAATACTCACGAGGATAGAAGCCGTCTGGATCCTTGTACTCGCACCGTTGACCCATAAAGCCGTCCGTGCACCTGGAAAACACAGAAAAATCGACCTTAGAAACACTCATTGACCCATAAAGCTGTCTATGCGTGTGAGAAACACAGAAAAACCAGCCTTAGTAACACAGAACAGGATCACTATACGACACATCGGCGACGCTCAAATTCAAACGATTCCCTCAAATCAGCACAATCAGCACTAAAACTCAAGATGATCAGAGCGATTAGATAGAACACATTCGCGCAGCGCTTCTCTCGCGGTCACCAATTTTCCGGCCTCATCTCTGCGACATACTCTCCCTTCTCGCTTATCTATCGCTCGCTGGCAGTTCGCCGGCTAAAGCTGATTGAAGCTGACAGCTCAGAACGATACAACTGCTTCGCTGAATTGAGCCGGGCCGGGCGACGACGACCGTGGCTAAGTATATCCCTCACACGGTGATACGCAAAGATAGCCGGGAGCTCACAGACGCTAAGACAGATTTGTGGAAATCAGAGCGGCAGGAACAGCATTCCGCGGTGGGATTACTAGGGCTATCTACATAAAGATTCAATATGATATTTCCCCCGGTGTGTGAGAGTACTTTGTCAGTTAAGGGATAACCATTCAGTCAGTACCTACATTTCAATATTACGACCGCAAGAACCTACTTTGTCAGTCAACTCATATCTAACCATTCCGTCAGTCCCATAATTTTAGCATTGTGACCAACATATCACCGTTCGTACTACTAATTTTTAATATGACCGAACACCCTCTCTCTCCAACGCCAGCGTCTCCTCAAAATTTCCTCCCTGCAGCACGCTGTAACACGCCGGTGCTCGTCTTTTACCACCCCGTAGGCCCAGCCCTCCCGGTCCTTTCCCACGCCCCAGTGCGGTCTCCACAGCCGCCGCGGCATCCCGCTCCGATCCTAATCCGCGCCCGGCTGACGGCAGTATTGTGGTACGGTCCGAGCTGCATCGGTCAGCCCATTGAGGCGACGTCTGACGGTCAGCCCCGCCCCCCCCCCCCCCGGTAGGAGGGAGGGGGCAGAGGGGACGAGGAATGTCCGGTATGGGGGCGAGGCCATCACAGGGCGCCGGTGACAGTTGGATTTTGACGCCTGTGTCGTCCGTGTTACAGCTGACAAACGGTGATGGCTGATGTGCTGACAATTTAACGCCTCTTTGCATTGCCTACAATTCATACCCGACCGATAATCATAATTTTTTTCACTTAGCTCCGGCATTCGCAAATCAAACTCACCCAAAAATCACTATGACTGACCAAAAACTGCACATACGTCTGTTCTCTCTAAGCCCATAAACAGCCGCTCACACAAGTTTCCTCACAGGCCAAGACGACTTCATCTTTCCCTTTCTCCCATCTCTAACCCATTCCTCTCCCATCAACCCCACCGGACCGCTCTCCAAAACCATCCCTCCATCCCTCCATCCACCGTCAATCGTCATCCACCAGGCGTCATCCGTAAAGCGCCATCCGTCGTCCAGGGTTTCTATAGAGCCCGCCGTCAGGCCCGGGTCCATGGGGCGTGCGCGAGTCGCTCTGAAGGGGATTAGCGACCACACGCAGAGGACGGGTCTGTCTTTTCACGAGGCGACGGGAGAGGGAATTTGTCAGGGCTCTATTGAGTGCCATCAGGTAAAAGAGAGGCCGCCAGCGTTGGGCAGCTGGGAGAGAGGGAGAAAGAGAGAGAGAGAGAGAGAGAGAGAGAGAGAGAGAGAGAGAGAGAGAGAGAGAGAGAGAGAGAGAGAGAGAGGGCGAGAGGTTCAAATAGAGCGCTGAGTCGTTACCAAGTCTCAACTCCCATATGTTGCTTACTAAGCACAACCACACGTACCCAAACCAGCTAAAGGCACGACACCGGCCCCTAAAACTAACACAGGCGGTCACTGGATACTCCTTCAGCAAATTGGCGAACACTTGACCTGACCCATACCAGCACCTCTGTGAACGCTACAGCACGCGCCGTGTCCGTGCCTGGCACGTGCCACATACCACGCCTCACCACGAGACACCCATCGAGGCCCCCATCACGAGACTAAAAAACCACCCCTCTTCAGTGTCATAGCCTAACCACTCTCGTGTCATCACGGATGCCCAGCCCCGAGGTCTGGCCTCACGAGACACCTAACTAGCGCTAAAGCTTTGCCAGAAGCTGGCGTGAGGTCCATGCTCGGGCGGTGGTCAGGTAGAGTTGAGCACGAGCTGGAAATCCCACCATGGTATGGGAGAATCGAGACGAGAAAAACGGAGATCGACAGGAGAGAGACGGGAGAGGGAGAGAGAGAGAGGAAGAGGGAGAGGGAGAGAGAGAGAGAGAGAGAGAGAGAGAGAGAGAGAGAGAGAGAGAGAGAGAGAGAGAGAGAGAGAGAAAGAGACGGGAGAGAGAGAGAGAGAGAGAGAGAGAGAGAGAGAGAGAGAGAGAGAGAGAGAGAGAGAGGGAGGGAGGGGGGCAGACAGCTGTGGAATCGGGACGCTTTTCAAAGACCACAATTCTCTGAAAATGTCACACCTACTGAGTTCATTTAAAGTCCTCGAATTCTGTCTACACGATACACGACAATAGTCAGGCGACATTGCCGCAAATCGTCAACATTTGTCGCCACACCAAGCCCCGTTATCTGCGCCAATTTCGCCGCTGGCTCGCCGGGGTGGCAACACCGGTCCGATTTTATTCGCATGGCTCGCCAAAGCCCCACACCTGTGAATGTAGACAATGTCCGACAACGAATGGCGTCGCGTTTCAATCCGAGACAACATTCCATGAACCGTTACCGACGGCTAGGCTCTATTTAAAGCTCTATTTAAAGCTTGTTGTGCATAGCTGGCATTCGCCAGAGCGTAGTAGGCCAATCCCACTCCACCGGGATTGTTTCTCTAGAACAAATGTCACCGATAAGATGTTTAACTAACTCGGGCGTGGCACGGTCATGCTTTCGTTTTTACATTCGTATGCTCGACTGACCAACCGCTCTCGAAAATCTGTTCTGCCAGTCTAGCTCGTATCTAAGACGCTGGCGAAACACCGAACAACCACTGGTTACCTTGGTGTGTTCCAACTTCCAGCAATCCTGAGATCACCATTACAAAACAATGTTATTTTCTCGCACTTTCCAACTTCCAACACCGCCAACGATCAGCAATTCAGAAGCAAAAGCCCGTCGCACTGTTGCACGGAGCACTTTCATTCGCGACCGTGTCAAGCGCCCCATATGAACATGGTAATGTATAATGCAACACTAAACAGTGCTGGACTATCGCCTACAACTACTTGCGCTGATGCAACGCGACCGATCGGGGACATTTTGGCCAGTGAAGCTTTAGGTCAATAGGCCACCCTAGCCCCAATAGCGACCCAAGTCCAAGCATTGGTGAACTAACGCGCCACAGCTAACTACGAGTTTTACAAGTCTCCTCGTTCAGAATAATCACAGACGGATGCCGTACCGTGTAATTGCGGAGCCCTAAATCCCGTTACGCACATTACGGGTACCCTAACACACTCCGCACGATCTACGCACGATGCCAGTCAAACGTGCAGATATTTATTACCTAACCACACCTTGGATGAGTTTAGCTTCACCAGTCCGCGCGTACTACGCCACTTCTTCGCAGAGCCGTCTCACGCAAGGCCTCGCGCACTGCCTTACGCACGCACGCACCCCTCAGGCCACACACACGCATACACACGTCCCGATACTCACTCGCAACTGTAGACGGGGTTATGTCCGATGTTGACCTTGAAGCAGCGGGAGCCGTGCAGGCAGTACTTGGCCTGGTACATGGGCGGGCACGGCTCTGTGTTGAACGTGAACGAGGGCCGTCGTGTCGATGGTGAGGACGGCCCTCGGGGCTTGGGGTTGGCGCGCGACGAGCAGCCATCTGACAAAAGAGAAGAGGGGGAGAAGGGGAGTTAGAGTTGTGACCACAAGAAGAAGTCAAAGCTTAATCACATCATACCACATGTAATCACATGTAAGAAAACAGCAGCGGGAGCATCATGTTCAAACTTGGGTGAGGAACTATTCTTAAGAATGGATAGCAAATACGCAAAGTATTTTCTTTTTTACTTTATCTATCAAGGTTAAACATGGGCTAGCACCTTTTTTCTTGAGACATAGGAGCAGCGTGACCGTGCGAGACAAAATATTTTGGTGAGCGAATGTGGCATATAAAAAGGTAGCATGTGAAAAAGGGAGCGAGCGAGCGCGTCAAGATCAGACAGCTGTGGTTTGGACTCCACCTTAGTTTGACGTCATTACACATTATCTAACTACCATGCACGTCACAGACCAGACACAAACAAAATATTATAACCTTACGGCTTACATATAAGCCAGAGTTAGAAAGCCTATTTGCGATCCAAATCCCAGACAGGAGCAGACAGTGCCTTCACAGAGCTGACAGGTGACGAGCGGGGCACGCGTGCGTGGCACACATTCACGAAACGACATCGTCATCACCATCTACCCCGTCACGGAGTTCCGACAGGGAACTCCACGGCGCGTCGGCAGACACCGAGCAATTCCGCTCAGATATCGCGTGATAGACCGCCACTGGACTTGTAGGAAAGCGTGGGGCACCACGCCCGAGAAAAAAGACGGTGACGGCTCGGTTTTAACCACACGAAATCATGTTGGGGAATGTCGGAGTGCATTCTGATCTTAAAGGAAGACGTGTCGTGAAAATGGGGTGAAGATGAGTAGCGATTCCGGATAGCCAGACCGCTGGTGTATGGCCTGAAGTACAAGTGCTTAATCACCGCATTTACGCAGTCATTCGTCGTTCGAATATCCGTCTTTTCACGGCCTTCATTTAGCGTTGCAACATGGAAGCGAAATGGAACTCGGTCATGTGACTAGCCGACTACAAATACCGCATCAACGTAACCAGTCATATTCTTCGCTTTTACAAGGGATCAAATAATTCCATCCGACTTTCTATCCGCAATTGCAATGCATCCGTCCTTCTAAGTTCTAACCGTAACTGACTCATTCATCGCATCGTTTCGTCCCAATCGACCACAGGAGCGCACCACGTGGCACGTGCTGACCTGCACGAGACACGTGGGCGTACCGCCGGCAGTACGTACCCGCATTCCTCAGTGAACTGACAGCGGACGTCACGGGTTATCCACGTCATTCAGCGTCACACAGTCGCAGCAGTGCGTATCCGTCACTCGCTCCCATTCATCGCGCCATTCATCCATCATTCATTCGTCATTCATTCAGTCAGCATGCGTTTTCCACTCGCCGCCAGGTATGTCCGTTTCCGTCGGCCGCCAGTGGAGTACCCAGCTCCAACATCCGGTGTCCTCCGTCGTAACCAACAGAGCAATCAGGTAAAGACCGCCTCCGCGCGAGCGCTCCGTTCTACCTCAGCGCGTGCCACAGCCTCTGCCCCCGGCGCCGTGACTCTGTCCTCAGGAAGGCGAGTTAAAGAGCCGCTACCGGACGCGTGGCGGTACTTCCTTTGGACTCGCCCTTCCGGCGCCTGCTTCCGATGGTGTGGTGCGCTCGGCCGGGCACGTTTCCGCTCTCCGCACCGCGCCCTCCACCCCCAGAGGTCGGCAGCGCGCAGGGTCAGCCGGCGCAGCTCAGCTCGAGTCAGTCGGTCGTTTAACCAGACTGTCACCACCAACCAAAGATCCGGTTCCTTCCGATCGACGGGCGTAGCCTTCGGAGTCACTCGCCCGCGGCTAATCGAGGGTCGAGAGATACGTAACGCACACCAGGCCACGGTCACCGGGGGTGGCGGGGGGCAGTCGAGCGGCCACCACCGGATGTTGCTTCATTAGCCGGAACGAGGCAGCACCTCACAAATAGGCCGGGCAGCCGGCGCGCCGAGCGGGCCCGTAACGCGAGACGGCCTCCGCTCCCCTCTGGATCTGTGCACGGACGAGCGGCGCGACAGACCGGCCGAGGGACGGGGTCAGCGGCGCGGCCGGCGGCGGACACAACATCCTGCGAGCCGCGCGTGCCGGCCGCGCCGCCGCAGACGACGACCTGAGCGATATCCGGCCTGCGTCACCGCTACAGTTACCCTCCACCGTCATCGAACACACTACCTCTCCGTCCTTATAACACGAGCGGTGTGAGGACTTGAGGGGGCAGGGGTTAGCGACAGACATCGTTTGTGGCGCCGCACAACACTCGCCAAACCGCTGAGGGCGCCAGAGCAGGGCGTGAACGTGACCTGCGCGCAGTCAGCAGCCAGATGATTCAACGGGGTGAGGGGGCACGAATCGCTCCGGGCCAGGGCGGGGGCGGGGGCGGGGGCGGGGGCGGGGGCGGGCGCCGCGTCAGCACGATCGTGACCGGGCACATCGCGCCAAAGCAGAGCGCGAGCAATGCGCTCAGTGAATCGATACGCGGCCAGCGCTGCTCTCGGCTCCCACAAAGCACACAAGCCAGTCGGCGTGACGCGGCCGGTCGCCGGCGCGACGACCCCGCCGCCGCGGTGACGACGGCGGCGGTAACCGCCCGACCGGTCGACCGAAATGCAGCGGCGGTGGCGGCGGCGACAAAGCCGACGGCGGCACCTCACGGCCAGAGCACACACAGAGAGAGCGTCCGTGACGCGCGCCACCCGGCCCGCCGGAAACGGGGCGCGCCGACCGGAAGCGGGCGCGCGCGATACGTGACCCTGCGGTCACGTGACCTCGCCCACCGGCCGGCCGCCGAGGCACGTGACCAGAGGGCGGCGGTGGCGGGTGTAACCAGGTTCGTTGAAACGGTCTGAGTCGACCCGAGCGCACCGGACGTGGGAGCCGCTCGGCTGACCAGCAGCGCCGGCGGCGTCGGGACAGGTGTAAACCCGACAGTCGGCGCCTGCCGCCGACAGGTCAAGGACCTCCGCACCACCCCTTCCCATCAAACACAGTGAGACGTTCTCACCGAGAATCCATCTCAAATCTCAACCCCCGTTCCATCTCCCATATCGTCAATCCACAAAAAAAACTAACAAGACTCATCTTCATTGCACGCACCGTTCGCTTCTCTCAACCACCACAACTCAACGGTCACTCATTTGACCCCAGCGACCCACCACCACTGTCCAGGAGTCGTCCAGGTCTCCAATTATCCTCTCTCTATCCCCACCACCACCTGGCGACGTCCGTGCGCCGATCGGGTTCGCCTCGGCACCGGCAGGTGTGGTGGCCGCGCGCGCCCGCCCTAGGAAGCTCGCTTGACTTGTCGCCCGGTATCCGACAAAGGAAAATAGGCCAATTAGAGAGGCGAGGGCGGCGATCGCTCGTTATCACCGGAGCTGTGTCCCTGCGGGGCGCCATCGGCCCGGTGCGACATCGGGGAAGTCGCGCGCGCGCGCGCGCGCCGCGCAGCGCAGCGGTAGGGATCGCTCGAAATGAGGGTGTGCTCAGGGTTGCCTCCTAGCACCTGCGCGATTTGTGGGCGAAGCACTAAACGGCGCAACCGTCTACTAACTTGTGACGTAGTTTACATATATCACCCACCGTCACACATGACTGCACTACACAGCTCAGAGACTGGAGGTGCTCCACGGTACCTCACCGCCCCACAACAGCCACGGGCGGCGCTGGCTCGGCGCAGCAGACAGCTGCAGCGGCCAGCGCAGCGTCTCTGCCCTGGGGCGACAGGAGCTCGTTCGGAGCGGCCGCTGCACGACCTCGCGTGGCAGCAGAGCACAGCGAGGTGCCCCAGGCACTGCGACTGCAGACGGTACTGCGCGGCTGCGGCCGTTTACCCCGTCATCTCCACGCGAGCTCCTAACGACCCCAGTCGCGCCGCGTCGCGCGTCGGCACGTGCCGCGAGACGTCCCGACGTTGGCGACAGGGTGCCACAGGCGGTACCCTGTCCAGACACGCTCGTAGACGGATGAGAGGCCAGATGTGCGCCCGGTGCCCGTCAGGGGAGGTAGTTGGGCGGACGGGCGTCAGATGGCGCGCAGGTTCGCGGCGCTCCAGCGGCCGCAGGTGCTACGGTCTGGGCTGTGGGGGCGATCGGTCGGCCGTGACGCCCCGATAGCTGTCCTCGGAGCAGGACCCGCCGGCCAGCCATGTCAGCCGAGTGACCGCGCTACTGTCTCAGTAGAAAATTATCCCAGAAACCACGAGATATCACGATCCACTCGCCCTTCATATACAAACAAGAATGTGTTAAATGTGTAACAACACCGACAACACATTTCCACATACTATTTATTGGTGTTTTAAGGCCAAACAACTGTTGTGTCTACGACTCCCACGTTTGTCAAAGCGTAGGTCTTCCCGACAACGCCTGTAATCCCTCGGGTAGCGACTCGCCATGCCCATGGAGGAACACTCCAGTAGTGTAACGGTAACACGCACCACGAGCCAGCCAGCCACAACAGACAGCAATACAATCAACACAATTACGCCGAGGTACGTCTCCGAACTGCATAAGCACGTGGGGTCATTTCCAGGGAAACGCCACAAGCGCCGGCCGTTGTTGCCAATGGCGGATTTAGGATGACAGCCGGGAGCAGTCCGTAGATTTGTGATACAGGTAACTGTTTCCTTGCTGCCATCTTTGTCATGTTGAGAATGTAGGGTTGGGAGAAGTGGGAGGGGGATGGATGACTCCATGCCGCTCAACCCCACGGCTGTCGTGACTGCAAACGCCCCCAGCCCGCGTGCGCGATGGCTGCACGGAGGATTAGCCTCAGAGCCCTCTCGCGCGAGCGGGCCGGGTGGCGTACTGCAGGGTGGCGGGCGTGGACCACTACTTTTTCCAGCCTCAACAGGATCTGCGGCAGCTGAGAGCAGATCTGCCGCAGCTGGGGGCTCGGACACGCGGTTTACGAGCGGTGCGGCGGCGAAAACCTGACGCCGGGCGGCGGCGGCGCTCAGGAGATCGGAATCAGGCGAGTCTGCAGCACG